TATGCAATATACACAAAGTGATATATCCTATATGATGAAATATATATGCAAGGATATATAAACTAACACAAGTATAAACATAAACAAGATAAACAAGATAGTGGACAATGTGAGCAAAAGATAATGGCGACAAGAATGATATGAACAATAAGCACAAGTGAGACGCCAAGACAATCACAAACACACAAAGATGATCACGGAGTTCGGACCTTCCGTCCTACGTCTCCGCTCCCCACTCCCGGGGAGAAATCCACTATCAACCGGGTTTTCTACGTTCACCCGAACAACGTTTACACCTCACACTCGGTTTTCTAGCTAACCGAAAACTTTACAATCAACACACTATTGTAATCCCACTCTACACCCACTAAGTGTTGGACCTAGCCGTGTCTCCCTCAAGTGCTCGGTTACAACCTCTCCCTAGGCACGTCAACCGACGCCACTCCTCTTGGGACGATCCCCGACTCTCACCACACACTCCTCACTCGGTGTACAAGTGTATTACAAAGTGAATCTCACAATAAGCACAATATAACAAATGATTGTTCTCTCTAACAAGATGAGAACTCAATTAAGCTCACTCTCAATGTCACAAACCCACAACCCTAAATTATACTATGAATGTAAATACCATAAGCTCAAAAGGTTGTGTGTGAACAAAGAGATATAAATCAAAATCAAACTAAACTCAAATATAAAATCTAGCTTAAGAACAATGATAATCAAACAAGTATATAAATGTAAAGCAGAATTGAATCACAAAAACAAACTCTCAATTTGCTTAAAAGCTTTTTAACACACTTTAAACAAACTTAAACCCTTGATTAAAACTTTCTTAAACTTGTTTTAAAACTCTCTTGGTTCGTTTTAAAAGACATCAGCAATGGGGTATATATACCCACTAGAAATCTCAGCAAAATCCCCAAAACAAAATGACCAAAAACCCCAGCAAACAACTCAGAGAAAGAGCCGTTAAAAGACAACGGCTATATTGTCGGTCGACCGAAAATTCCGTCGGTCGACCGATGGAAAAATTCGGTCGACCGATGGAAAGTTCGGTCGACCGTTATCCAGGTCGAAAACAGGAAATCAAGCAAACACTTATCCGGTCGACCGGTGCGGTCGACCGCACGGACTCTCTGGCAAAACTGCCTGAGAAATGGTCAATTGACCTTGCGGAGTTGGTCGACGTACCGGGGACCTTTCCTCTTTTACCCTTCATTTTTTTGTTTTTGTTTCTCTGTTATTTCCCCGCCCCCCCACCGAATTACTGATATATCAGAATAAATCGCGTTAGAGCCTGCATTTAAAACCTGTTTAAAAATTATGCAAATAAATCAAAAAATGTAAAACTTTGCGAAAGATTGTAGACATGATAATACACATCTACAAAAACTCTTTCGAAAAGACTCCAAATGAAATATCATCATTTTGCCAAAATAGTCCAAAACACGAAAATGCTAAACATGCTGGAATTTTATATGTTGGCTAAAACCAAACTTTTGAAACTTTACAAAATGATTTTATAACTGGAAGAAAGATGTAACAATTCTATGAAGTCTATAAACAATCGAATGTAGTATTTATCAAAATACACATATAATGCCACTAAAACATGATTTCATTAACTAATCTAAAATTGATTTGAGAATCATATATATGCATATGCAGTATGAAACAAAAATATGCTTGTTCTAATTATATTCAATTGTTTCATAGTAAAACTTGAAAAACTATCAAACAAAACATATATGTATATATATAACTACTATATATACAAAAACCAAAACGTGTATGTGTGTATATGCTTGAGCTTAAACTACTAACACACATAATTATAAATTTGACAAACCTAAATGTACCAAGCCCAATCTGATCTTCAACGAAGCTCTATCTTGGTAATCTTGCGGCATGAAGTTAACTTGGAATTCTTGAACTTTGAATAGCCAAGGGACTTCACCGTCATTCCCAACTCCATTGCGATAATCATCGTTGAAGCTCTATATCCATCCATCCTCCAACATATATGTTTGCCTAGAATAAAATATAAAAACACAAAACACTAGACAAAACAATACTTAAGATGCTTAAATTGTTTGCAAATCATTCATCAAAAACAAGAAGCCAACATTACCACTCTGACTGATAACGTGTCTGTAAACGCCGCAATTGAAGCACTTGATGTTGGATTTGTCTGTCCACCGCCTCGTGCTACTCTCGCCTCCTAGAAGCTGCGCCCGCGAGCGCTGTGTCGAAACCGCCCTGAGATTGGCCCCCTGCCGCCGGAAACCGCCTCGGCCAACCGCGCTGCCCTGCCTATCTTCCACGGTCCACCTGGCCACCGCGACCGCCTGACCTGCTGCGCCACCACCATGGTCCCGCCTGGACACCGCGGCCTACACGCCCGCGACCCACGCCCGCGCACCGGCTCCGCGTGAGCGACCTCGTCCACTGTCATCGCTTATCGTCTGTGTTGAGAAGGAGTTTTCGTCGTTCTTCTTGGCCCTTGCTTGCCACTCCGCATGCGTCAACAATAGGTGGTTATCGACGTTGTCTTGAAAAACATGTGCCCGCACCTCGTGGGCCTTGAGACGCCCGATCGCCTCCTCGAGTGTCATGCTGTCGATGTCCCTGAACTGCTCAATCGTAAAGATGATAGTAAGAAATCTCTCAGGTACCGCCTAGAGTAGCTTCCTGACGACGTAGCTCTCCGGCATTTCGCCGCCTAACGACCGGATCTTGTTGACGACTCCTGTCAATTTCGTCGAAAAATCATCGACGTTGTCGCTCTCCTTCATCCGAAGAAGCTCGAACTCGGACTTCAATGTCTGCACCTTCGCGTTCCTCACACGGCCCGCTCCTAGATGCATCGTTTTTAGCGTCTCCCACGCCTCCTTTGCCGACTGCTTCTCTACAATCACCATCAAAGTTTCTTCAGGAATCCCCTGATAGATGGCTGCCAACGCCATCTTATCCTTCCTGTCTTCCACGGTCACGTCTTCCGTAGGCTCAACGGCGTCCCACACGTCTTGAGCCTTCATGTAGACTTTCATCTTGATTGCCCATGAAGAGTAGTTATCTCTCGATAGCGTCGGGTATTGAATAGTGAACGAACCCACATTGGTCGTCATCTTCTCCGCGCTCGTCATATCTTCAGATCTCGGTTGAAACTTGGGCATAAACCTAGCTCTGATACCACTTGATGGCTTTGAATTGGGATCAGCCTAAGCACCTAACAAGATTTGTCACGAAATAAAACGAGAGAGATATAGAGTTGGCCGAATTTTTGAGCAGGGAGTTTTTTCTTCTTCTTTTTTTTCACTACAAAGTTACATGATTGCTTACATATATATAAGATCATACCACTAACATTGTCCACTAACTTCTAACTTCTTCCACTAACATTATTCACTAACTTCTAACTTCTCCCACTATCCACTAATTTCTAACTTCTTCTACTAACATTTTCCACTAACATGGACTCCTACAAACTAGGGACACTCCCCTTAATGGGTAGGACAGATTAACTATCTCACAAAAGAATCTCTCTTCATTCAGATTGGTTCAAGAGGAAGAGATTGAGAGAATTGTCGATTCAATAAAGACTCGTTACGACACAAACTCAGCAGTTAATATCACAGACCTTGCGGTACATTTGTCTAACAACATCATATTTAGGGTTGCTTTGGGTTATAGGAGTGAGGGGGAGTATGGAGAGAAAGGTAGGTTTCAAAGGATTCTTGAAATGATTAATGACACAGAAGCAAGCTTTTTTTTGTGGCGGACTATTTTCCAGGATTTGGGTGGTTCGATAAGGTGACGGGGCGAATGAGGAAGCTGAAGAGGAATGCAAGGGAGTTGGATGCATTCTATCAAGAGGTGATCGATTCACACTTGAATGATGGGAGAGAGGAAGATAGCCGAGAGGATATTCTCATAGTACTTGCGAAGACTGTGCAGCTAAACACAATATCAACAAATTAATGGCAAGTAATAAGCAAATGAATCACAATGAATGTCTTAAAATAAAACTAAGGTAACTACCAAGATATAAACTATATGAATAAACTGGTAACTAACAAGTACTAAATACCGACTCTAAGTGACTCCTAACACGCATAGTCCAACGAGCCGATAAATTTGAAAGAACTTTACAGGTTTGGGGGCGTAAATGAAGATTAGGGGTTCTAATATGCAATTAAGAAAGATGTTAGGATCTAATATGTCCAGAAACCCTAATATACGTTGTTTTTGTTATTTGATCATGTTTTGAATTAGCGTTATTATCGACTTCAAATGCAGAAACATTAGCAGGAAACTTTGAAGGTGGGATTTGCTCAACAAATGGAACATTAGCAGGAAACTTTGAAGTTGCAAACTTGAAACGTGGGTTTTTATGTAAAATACATTACCTAGGAACAAAAGTTTTGCGATGGAGCAACGAGTCTGGACCATTCCGACACTCGATCGCAGTCCCGATTAAGAAAACCAATCGCAGTCGGCGACATTTTCGCCGAAATCATCACCGACGGTCCCCAAATTAATCTTGCAGTGTTTGATTTGTTCTGTATTATTTTCTTCGGGTTTCCGTATTACTCCCTATTTGGTCCCTGACGCATTAATGCTTTCTTATATCTGTACACACCTGTAATACGCTACTAGAAATTAATTAGAGATGGGAAAAGACAATTAACATGCTGAATTAATAAGGACATACATGAGAGAATTATCTTACGGACAATGACCTTCTATATTTTCTGCCGATGAAATTTGCAAGAATATACCTCGAAATCAAAGCTTTACTTGATCCTCCAACAAGTAGAGGCTGAACTAAATTTAAATAAAAAAAACAAATGCAACATATTACGTAATTAAACCGTATATTCTACCAAAGAAGCAAAATACAAGCTCATATTTGACCCATGATGTAATTAAAGAACACAAACAACATAGAAACTCTTCAAGACAACTCAACTTCTATAAAGAATACACAGCCTAACTTTATGCAATTTTCTTGAATATCTTTCATATAAACCTTCTTGTAACTTTGTATAGCTTGTGCATTCATGATACTCTCTCAAGAGTTGCTATACAATTTGGATCCCCTACTGAGAGCATCAACGAACAAATTACTCAGTCAAAATGCTATACAATTTGGATCCCCTACCGACAAGGAATCGTGTTAAACTGCAGCTAAGTATTCATGGTACTCTCTTTCAAGGATTGCTATACAATTTAAATCCCATGCTGAGGACATCAATTAACAAGCAACTCAGGTCAAAATGCTATCCAATTCGGATCCCCTACTGACAAGCCTTTGGGTTAAACTGCAGCAATGCATTCATGATGCAATCTCTCAACGTTTGCTGTACAATTTGCTGAGGACATCAATTACCAAACTACACAGTCAAAATGCTAGACAATGTGAATCCGCTACTGATTGCCCGAGTCTAATGCTAGAAGTATCTTTTTCCTTGGACCCTGAAACCAACAAACCGAATAATTAGAAGGCATTTTTGTGAAAACATGCATGCAGACAGTAAAACTCTGACAACTTCTGAAACCCTACTCACCATTGGGAGACCAAGGTCCTTGAGATCCTCCTCTGTCAAGTGTACAAGAACCGTCATCTCATCAATCTGCGCAAATGAGGCACTGAAGATGAGTCTAAAGCATGCGCATATAACAAGTATGGTATAGAAAATGCACATTTCATATAGGCATACCTCCTCTGCTTCGAATAGTGGCAAATATTTCTTGAGGCCTATAGATTGTAAAAACGCGTCCACTGATGAATTAGACTGTGCAGTTCAACAAAATGGATTTAGCAAGTAAGACAAGTTAGTAAGATTGTTTCAAGGTCTACTTCCAACTGCATAAAAACAAAGAAGAAATAGAAACAGTATGAGATGCATTTAGTCATAGAATAACCAATGGCGCAAATACTATGTGATGAAGAAAGGTGGGGAGTGGGGGGACTGAATATAAGTATTTGAGATTCTTAAACTGCTGCCTTAGCCAGCCTTTCACCAAACACATTTCCTTGATTCAGGAATATCATGGAATTGTATTTTAATAAAATAAGCATCAGAACTGAAGTAGCTCCAAAATGAACTTCAGTGCCTCCAGTGAGGCTTCAAATCTTAGGCCCTCTCTCCCATAAAGGAAATATGCTCTCTTGATTTTTCCCTCAATAGGCATGCCTCTAAATTGTTAAACAGTATAGCTGTTCCTAGTTTATCAAGCAGAACTAATCCAATAGCCACACTAGAAATACTTTTCCATAACACACGCCTCCCGGAAACTGGACCTTTAGGCATAGGAAGCTTTCAATTTATGACAGCACAGATAGAGTCACAAGTATAAATACACCTTACACAAGTGTGAGTAAGGGCGCGTGCATGCGCAGGTGCACGCATGTAGCATCCACAGATATGAACACAGTTACACAGTCTCTTAGACAAGAAATCCACATTAAAATGACGATGTTTGATACTGAGCACTTTACAGTAAATGCCGAGCAAATCCATGCAACAATAAATGGAATCTAACAAAACATGAAGATAAACAAAAAAAAGTCCTATAAATATATACTTAATTCATATTGTTACACTCAATCACCCTACCAGAACCCTCCTAAGCTCCTAGGCTGATGCAGGCTCTTATCAGAGAACTCTTACCTCTTGCAGGGGCTTCTTGGAAGTTGGGCCGGACCTTTTATTTTCTGATACAGTTGCTTCAGAAGACGAGGCACTTTTCTTAATGGGCCATGTGTTCTTTCTACCAGAGAGATTTTCACGAAGATCTCCGACTCCTGTGCCCTTACCACGTTGATAAGCTTGCTGTGAAGCTTTCGTTTGGAGCTCGAATCGGAGATCTCCGGGACCTACCCTTGGTTCTTTGAGCCACACAGAATTAACATTGTTAAGAAGATACATAGAAGAAAAAGCAACTAAGAGACTATAATCAGTTTCCTGTAACTAGGCTTATACTTGAAGTATGAGGTTCCCTATCATCATAAAGATCATGCTTCCATTTGTCATCTCTTTGATGCTGCCTGTAAAAGTGACTCACATTAGTTGAACCAAGCAGTGAAACAAATGGTTCAATATAACTTATCCTTAATTCACGATCAGATGGACACAAGATTCACGAAAATAAAGGATCCAGAATTACAAAATATTATAAGATCGTAACTTCTTCATATACTTGGGAAAGGTGAAGATGAACTAGATCAACTTATGAATTCATCTTCACTCTAATAATAAAATGACATCACTAAGATTCTATAAAGAAAACTTGGGGTTTATTGAAATTCATCAGGCAAACTTGAAACCTTGGGGTTCATTGAAATCCATAGGGTAAACTTGACTAAGATCTGTAAGGGTGGGTTTATAAACACAAAACCCTTAAAACGATTATCTTTTCCACGGGATTACAGGACAATATATTTTCCATCAAATAGTTGCAAAGTGTTCCTCTATTGGACTGTGTCAAATGTATAATCACAGAACACACTGAATGTTTAACCTTTACCCTAGCTGACAAGAACCTTTTTACCAAATCGAGACCAAATCTCACTGAATGTTTAACCAATTTTCTTGCTCCAACAGTTCATCAAGAAAACCAAATGTTGCATGCTCAACTTACATAATTTCCATTTTTTCCCAAAGCAATCCTTACTAACCTCGGGACTAAATATTTTGTCAAATCACCAACTAAAAACCATATCATATGCCAGATTTTCACCCGGAACCCAAATCTGCACCCAGTGGACACAGTGAGAGGCTTTCAACCAACCAAAACTAACTTCGTGTCTTAAATCAGGGAACGCGACATGACCATTTCATTTAGACCTCAACTGATGCCTTACAATCTTTTTTCAAGATCACCAAAGTATACCTTCCCATATCCTATGCATAGCAAGCAAATCTAGGAACCAATGTATGTTCCTAAATAAAGAAGATAAAAAAAATCTATTCCAAATTCAGCCTAAAACAAAAATTATACTCCAATTTTAAGAACAAAGACAGTAAATTACAAGAACCCTCTTCACCAATATCCAGTTTTTCAAGAAACCTTCCCATCTATTAATTTCAACAAAAAACCCGTCATCTATCTACAACTGCTTGCATCACAAGGTTACTCTATAGCTGTCTAAAAACTAAAATCTTCAATAATTATCACAGATTAAGGGGTTTCTTGTAAATTATCCAAGATAATAAGAATCATAGAATTCTTAATCTTGAACAAGAACTACACTCCAATTTTCAGACAAAATCACCAATAACCATAGCATTCTTGCTCATGCACAATCAATTTGTAGTCCAAAAAAATGAATTTCAAGTATAAATCACGAAAAAAGAACCTATTCGAATCCTCATTCTGGCTCCGGCCGAGATCTTCATTGTGATCAATGTTCAGGCGATCCCAAACCGACCTTTTGCTCTTATCCGAATACATTTCAGCGTTCGATCCAAGGAAAAAAAATCAAAGAAATGAGGAATTTAGGGTTTTAGGGGATTTTGGGTTTTGGGCGGGGAGAAGATGATCGGAAATTATAAGAAGAGTGGGGGCGTTTTGGGGATTATGAGGGTGTTGCCGTTGGTGTTATTTATTCATCGACAAATGCAATGTTATCAAATAATTACCAGATAGTTAATATTTATTGGTCTAGTTATTGGTCATTCATCTAATTATTCGTTTAATTGTTTTGATGGTGTTATTCGTTTAAATTAGATATAACAGATCACTGGAGGAAAATCAAATAATTCTTGTAGTAAACCGCAATAAGTTTTGCATTCTGCAAAAAAAACCCATAAATTTGAACAAAGAAACAACATAAAAATGCATTTTAAAAATTACTGGAGGTCTAGTGTAATTTATCCAAAAGATATTGGGTTTTCTGCAAAAGTTATTGGGGCTTTAGTGTGATTTTGAAAGTTAATGGGGGTACCTACAAAACAATAAAAGTTATGGAGGATTTAGTGTAATTTACCCATTTATAAATGGAAAAATTGCTTCAAGGCCCCAAATTCATATTTTCAATGTGCCTTAACCCCCCCAACTTTCAAACATGTGCTGCAGACCGCCTCCCTACCCCGCTGCACCTCCCCCGCCTCCCTCCCCCGTCTCTCTCTCCCGCTGCACCTCCCTCCTCCTCCTTCGGTCCCCCTTTGCCCCCTTCCCCGCTCCGCCGCCGGCGTCGTCCCGAGGAACTTCGCATGGGCACATTAATATTAACTCTTTTCTGTAACATGTTAACTCTTTTCTGTAACATGTTAATTCTTTTCTGTAAAATGTTAACTCTTTTCTGTAACATGTTAACTCTTACAGCTAACATGTTAGCTGTAAGAGTTAACATATTAGCTGTTAGAGTTAACATGTTAGCTGTAAGAGTAAACATGTTAGCTGTAAGAATTAACATGTTATCTGTAAGAGTTAACATGTTACAGAAAAGAGTTAACATGTTAAAAAAAGAGTTAACATGTTACAGAAAAGAGTTAACATCCACTGACATAAGAAAGAGGAGGGTAAATTCGGGATTTAAGTCAGCTGATATGTCTAATCATGAGCTGACATGTCTAATCAACTGCTGAAATAAGCTGGAATCATGATGGAGGAGTGATGGAGGGGCTTCGACACATTTTTTTTCAAAAAGGAGGGGCTAAAGAACATTAAAAAAAGTAGGGGGGCTGGGGCACATTGAAAATATAATTTTTTTCAAAAAGGAGGGGCTAAAGAACATTAAAAAAAGTAGGGGGGCTGGGGCACATTGAAAATATAAATTTAGGGCCTAGAAGCAATTTTTCCTTCATTAAAAAAAGTAGGGGGGCTGGGGCACATTGAAAATATAAATTTAGGGCCTAGAAGCAATTTTTCCTTTATAAATTGGGTGTTACTACATAAACAATGATATGTTTTAATTCTTTATTATTTTTGAAAGGAGAATTTGTGTCAAGACTCCAATAATAATAAACTCATGTGACCTAGCCCCTCTATCTTTTCTCCATGGGATCAGCCCTAAAAATATCACTTCTTGTGATTCAGCTCTTTATTCCATACCAACTAAGCACAAAGAAAAAGAAACAAATAGAAAAGTCGAAAATATCATCATTTCTTCCTCTCTTCTCTCTAGATTTAAACCTGCTCCTTCTTCCTCCTTTCCTCTCCTTCTCTCTCTTAACTCATTTCCTTCCTCCTCCTCTCTCTCTCTCTCTCTCTCTCCTTTTTCTCTCAGACACTGATATCCCTCTCCGCCACCGCCGACCATTCCGGTCATGTTGTTCGCTCCTTTTTCTCCTACTACTTTTCCCCGTCACCGCCAACCATTCCGACCATTGCGGCCATGTTATTTAACCCAATAGGCTTAGCATACAAACCCTTGAACTTCACTTATAACTCATTAGACTTAATATTCCATCTTGGACTTGAACTTAATATCAAAAATTGTCAGAAAAACTGATAGCTTACATGTCTTGAATTTGCTACGACCTTGAGCTCTTGCTTGTCCTCCTCCGCCACTGCCTCCTCCACCTCGTTCTTCGGCACCTCTTCGCCTTCAGTGTCGGAGATCAATCTGTTCTTTTGAGGATCCACCAACTAGAACTCCGACGAATTTGAGGCTTTTTTTTAGTTTTGGAGTGAAAAGAAAGAGAGAGTATGGGAAATTAGTAGGAGAAAAGGAGCGAACAATATAGCCGGAATGGTCGGTGGTGGCAGAGGGGGATGTCGGTGTCTGAGAAAAAAGGAGGAAGAGAGAGAGAGAGAGAGAGAGAGAGAGAGAGAGAATATGAAGGAAATGGGTTAGGAGAGAGGAGGAAGGATGAGCAAATTTAGATCTGGAGAGAAAAGAGAGGGAAAAAATGAAGGTATTTTCGACTTTTCTATTTGTTTCTCTCTCTTTGTCCTTAGTTAGCATGGAATAAATGGCTGAATCACATGAAGTGATAATTTTTAGGGTTGATCCACATGAAGAAAAAGTGGAGAGACTTTATTATTGGGACCTTGACACAATTTTCCTTTTTTTTAAATTTAGATTCTATAATTACTTTGAGAGACGTAAGAGCTTCAAATCAATTCCTTAAAACAAAGCATTTCAAGATTTATACATTATCACTATAAAGAAGCAACATGGAAGTATGAAATTCAATTTTATTAAAAATCATTTTATAACCAACTAATAGGATCTATCTGATCAAAATAAAATATCTTTTTAACCAATTAACTTTTATCCATGCAAATGGATAAATTAGACTAATATACTGGATACCATCACTGACCAAAGGTAGTCCACTGATTTCACAACAGCTCTTAAATTCCTGTGCACAAAATATATCATCTCTTAACAATATACAGCTGAGAGGACTAAAGAATAATTTCAGATCCAACCCTATTTTAACCCTGTTCTATTATTCACTTTTCCCTCCTCAAAACCATCACTTCCTTCACTCTCCAGAACTTCTGCTACATTATCAGGGGGGCATTTATCGGCAGGATTTTTAGGTGAAACCTGGCAGAAACATTCAGGCCAGGAATTTGTATAAAATGATTCAGGTCGAACTCGCTTGTGAGGCTCTCCAAACTTAGTTCGAGCCATAACATTCCGAACTCTCTCTTCGAATTTAGCACCTCGGCCCTCCTCTCTATCCATGAAAATGGGAGCCAATGCTTTTCTATCAGGTTGAATGATGGTTCGAAAGCCATAATAAAGGCGATGACCCATGAGATTGTTGGCGAAATTGCTGGGGCCATCATAGGTTGGAATGAAGATATCAGATAAGAGGCAAACCATGTAGTCTACAGCAGAGCCAACGAGCCTTTGGGCGCCCTCTTCAATTTTATTTGGACTTACTGTGTTGTGATTCTCAAGGTTTGGAAAGAGAGAACGAAATGGCTTCATAAAACGATCTCCACCGAAGAGTTCACCTGCGGCAATGTAGATCTTGGTATTGTTTTCGAATCCCATGGAGCGCAAGATAAGACCCACCTGCAATAGGAGAAGAAGATAATTAAGGTGATTATAGCATTGAGAAATAGGACCCTATACTGAGATACCTTACCATATATGTAATCTTGGGTTAATTGCTGATAGACACCCTCGACTATCACCAAATCCAAATTGAACTTATCCCTGTAGTACTATTGGTGCAAATAGACCCCCAGAAAAGAGTTAAAAATAATTCACTCAGGCGGTCTATATGCAACAATAGAACTACATGGGCAGTAAGTTCAATTTGGCCATAGTATAGGGGTCTATCTGCAATTTACACTAAAATCTTTCGAACTGAAGTTTTGTCTGCTTGATTCGAAAGAGATTATAGTGCTACAGGTTTTGGATAAATTAACTAGCAGGTGTCGAATGCTAGAGCAAGATTTTGGCAAGTTCAGTTGAAGATGAACTTAGGGGTGTAGTGGAACGGTCTCAATCTAGTTACTGAGATTATTTACATAACAGTAACATAATCTTGCATTATATAGCTTCAATATAGTTAAAGATGGACATGTACAGGCATTAGGTTTGGCATGTTTATCGCATCTGACTCGAAATTTAACCAGTCTATGACTGGTGTACTCTCGAAAATGAAAGCAACCACAAATGATTGCGAGAAGATTTTACCTCTTCCGGAGTTAAGGGGCACTTCCCAATAAGTCTCCTTTCTCTATAAATAAGTTTTTTCTCCTTGAAATTTTCTTTCCGATACTTTATCAGGACCTCCTGTTCTTCGGGCGTAAATATATCCAAACACCTGAAATTTTTTCAGGTTAGAATCTTAAGAAATCTTTCATGGAGAATTCTTCCAAATTAAACAGGATGTAAAAATCTCATGGCAACAGATTGTAGTTGTTTATTTAATCTGATATAATGTTTATGAACATTGTCAATATATTTCAAGTCTTAACCTGAATGTTTGGGTCTACTGCCAGATTAAGCTCTCTAATAACTTTGATGAGAACAATTATCAATTCAATATTATATACAGAATCCAAAAGTGAGAACCTGAAAATATGGCATGTATCCTATACTCTAATCGAGATGGGAAAAAATACTACCGACAACTACATAGCTAAATATGCATCGGGATATACATAGGTCAGATATAGCAGATGTCTTCACATAATCTTTAAAAGAGCAAGCAAATGCATAAGGATGTTAGTATATCCTACCCAGCAAATGCAAGCATATCCATTTCGAATCTCAGGTGTATAGACATGAAGTGGCCTTCTGCCCGGAGCTTATTTACGATCTCACTACTTAGTTTCATAATTTGTGGCTTGAATCTTAGTGCATGATAATTCACTCGGCATCTTAACCTCTGAAGTTCGGGGTCATCAATGTCTTCTGCAAGGCGGTGCGAAAAAGGAGTTAGATAGATAGCACCATGTTCCATCATCTTTCCCAACGCAGTTGTTGTGTACCAGCTTAGAGGAGCATCTCTAGGCGGGTTCATCTGAAATAGAATAAAAGAACAAATATGAAATAAGCGCACAACTGCCAAATGTATAATATATTTTCTCATCCCCTCAAAAAAAGAGGTATGTGTGCATGTAAAACGTAAACCAACCTGATGAGCTTTCATCCTTTTCTTTTTCCCACGTCCAGAAATTTCAGGCAGGCTTTCCACAATATTGACATCGTACCTCAATGATCTGATGAAATGCTCAACATCATAGATACCTGGAAAACCGCTGGGTGTTGATATAATTGACCAAGTTAGTATGATAAAAAGATCTGTCAGCATTAGATAAAAACGCTTCTTGCGCTTGCACATGGGCTTCAATTATTAAGAAATAACTTACATAGACAGAAAATGCTTTGTATAAGAACTAATAGTTTGCATAACCTTTGATGTTATCTAGCAGATAAATAGTAGATCTAAGATCATTTACTTGATCATTGTGGTAGGCTGGAGATGTTATGGAGATGCCTATAGATAAACCATAGAAGAAAGTTTCTATCAGTTAAATCCCCCTCTGAGGATGATGTGGTCAAATTACCCTCCAAGCCAGGTCAGAGGATGATGATGTGAGCATTTAAAAGAGTTACATCAAATCTAGTGCTGCTTAAAACCACTTTAGTCGATCAGCAGATTTAATTTTAAATTATTCACTAATAATAAAATTTAGTTTAGATGCCTGCTACACAACACCTTTTAGGTTAGAAACTAAAACCATATGATGATCAGAAGACTTAAAAGTCTCATGGTGCAGCCGCTTGAGTTGTGCTCAAAACATACTGACCAGATTGAATCTACTTGGACATAACTAACAAACAGAACCCAATTGGCTTGCAGACTGATTAAAAGTTACCCCCCCCCCCCCTCTGGAACTCTCTTGACTTTAGGTCATGCTCTATAGCAATCCTAAAAGAAGATGCTGATATTGGCTTGCAGACTGATTAAAAGTTCCCCCCCCCCCTCCTGTGGAACTCTCTTGACTTTAGGTCATGCTCTATAGCAATCCTAAAAGAAGATGCTGATGATGATAACGATACTTGACAAGTTATATTAACTGCATTTATGTCTGCATTCTTTATGGTGTTGAGCGCTGCAAGTCAAGAAAGCCATGGGGGCATGATTAATAAAAAGCTAGATCGAATGTCTGCTTGAAAGTAACTATCCAAACATTACCCAACTTGCTCGCAGACTAATAAAAAGTTAGTTATTTTTTATTTTTATACTATTTTCCTTTTTCCCCCCTGTGGAACTCTCTTGACTTTAAGTCATGCTCCATATCCAACCCTAAAAGAAGATGCTGATGATGATGATACTTCACAGGTTATATTAACTGCATTTATGTCTGCATTTTTTATGGTGTTGAATGCTACAAGTCAAGAAAGCCATGGGGGGCATGATTAGGTTATAGACATGTGCTGATTTATGTAGAAAAATTGTGGACTATCCATATCATTTTGCTTAATGAACCTGAAGCTCAAGTTGTAAGATATTGAAATGTAGACAATAAACCTTATGAACTCAATACATATAATTGCAAATAAGGGGAAGAAAATTCCACCCAATGAACCCATGTGAAATAGTGCATTAATCATCAATCATCAACCACTAAAAGCATATGATTTAAACAATTTCATTACCTATTTTGTTACTAGGGCTTGAAGATGTACCATGAAACTCCCAACATCACGACCCCCCAAGTTATTCAAAGAAGTTGGGTGTATTAACAGTTAGCTTGAGCACAGTCTGCACTCTTTTAGGGTTTCAAATGAGAACACACAAATTGATCTGGTTTTAAATAAAAACTCCAAGATCAGATGCGTGATCTGCTAATAAAATAAACAAGAGAGGGATTAGCTACGGATATAAAAGAAAGCCCCGGAATGATGGTAAAGTTTCCATTGTGGTCGGGAGGTTATTACAGGATCAGATCCTTAAAACATCCCTTCACAATTTTCTGATTAAGGCTATTTAAGTGAGAGTCTCATAAAGTGGGATGTCCTTTTGTTTGTTACAAAGGGAATGTCAATACTCTAATAATAGTAAACATTTCACTTGCAACAAATTAACTATGGGAACCATGCTCATATTAGGTCCAATGTCTCATTGAAGCTCCATGCTAATATTATGGGAAACATAATGTTGAAACTTCTTCATACATAACCTTACTCAGTACGCGACTCTTCTATGATAGGGAAAGGATTAACGGTGAGCTTATGATTGACCATAATATAATTTTTCTAAATGAATACAAAGGCTATCTTCTGCTATTAGAATTTTTTTAGTTAAAAAGAATATCGTTAACATGAAATTTCACTATATAATTTTGGCAACCCACATTCTAGTTTTTTTGGGAACAGCACTAGAATAATCTAATGACACTAAATCCTTTGTGAAAATATGCAATGCAATCATTTTATGCATTTTACCCAAAGAAAGAGAATTAAGATTCACTAATGATACTAATAAAGCCTCTATATTCCAAATCTTGATTAAAAAAAGTTACACATTGAAATGGATACCTTGCATCATGCCAAAAGGAGTTCGTGTCCAACTCAGGCAACACCAATGTTGCATTCATGATTCGTGCCGCAAGAACTGCATTACATATCTGTACGAACCAGCTGCAAAAGATTAGCCATTCTGTACAAATGCACAAGAAAATTGTTCAATAGAATCAAGACCAACATGGTACATTTAAATTGCAGGTTAAAATAATACATTCTTCATGATGCTGATGGTTGATAGCAATCAGATGGTGAAAATAATACTACATAAGACAAATTATGGAAATAAGAAATCAGCACACCTACGAGTTATTGGTGTAATGCAGTCTGTTACATCTACCTCTAAATAAAGTATGACCGACTGGACTAAATAACATACAGGTACTTGATAAGATATTGACCTTGGGATTAGGTGAGTAGACCAGTTTACAAGAAAATGCAGGAGTTGGTAGAATGGCTACATAGTTTTAGGAATGTAGTTAATTATACTGATGTTACACTGTTTCCAGATAACTAGGATATGCATGTTGCTAAAAAATATTTTGACTTAATGGCACCCAAGATTTGCAATGCTGAGCAACTCCTTCCATGGTCACTACTTTTTTAACGAGCACAATCATCAGCCACTCCAAGCTACCATCATGTTCTAGTCGCTAAATGACTGATTGGGGCTCATTGGCACATTTAGTCAAAGGCTGCCTACATTTCTTGTTGCTTGTAAAGTGTCACCACACTTTAAAATTATGCTTCATCGCGTCAAATTCTTTGCAATGACATCCAAACATTGACAGTAAACCATGAAAAACCGAGATATATACTTTCAAAATTCCATAAGAAACTGACATACACATTCAGGAAAAAAAAAAGAGAAAGAAAAGGAAGAAAACTAACTGAGATTCCCCAATTAATATAAGCTTGAATTCATGATCAACTAAGAAGAATTTGTTTGATGACCACCATCATGTTCTAGTCACTAAATGACTGACTGGGGGCTCATTGGCACATTTAGTCAAATGCTGCCTACATTTCGTGTTGCTTGTAAAGTGTCACTGCACTTAAAAATTATGCTTCATCGCATCAAATTCTTTGCAATGATATCCGAGCATTGACAGTAAACCATGAAAATCGAGATATATACTCTCAAAACTCCATAACAAACTGACCTCCATATTCAAAAAGAAGAAGAAGAAGAAGAAGAAGAAAACTAACTGCGATTCCCCGATATCATAAGCTTGAATTCATGATCAACTTAAAAGAATTTGTTTGATGGCCGACGCAGGTCTTAAGACAAAAAATCATCTATTGTATCTATGTGAACATTACCATACCGCACTACGTTGTTGGTTTAAGCCGCCATTGCAACGAACCCGCAAAAATCCATTGCTCTGTTTTTGAGGAGCTATAGCATTGACAAATAGGAAAAAAAAATTATACATGAGATTCACTAAGATATTGATCACAGAATTTCAGAATTATAACTCAAGAAAAATTAGGTAAAATGCTCAGGAAGATCATGGAAAAGTTCATACGGGACCAGTATGAACGTGGAGCTGATGACGGCCTCCAACCACCAGAAGTAGCAGGTCCCCAAAGCTTATCCACGTTAAAGTCCTTTAATGGAGAAAAAAGGTTAAAAATATGATTAAGGGGAAAAGCTGTAGACAATTTAGTTAAATTATCTAGCGGCTGTTTGCATGGTGTATACAATAATTATTAACTTGGTATATCAGATAAAGTTAAAATCAGCACACAAAAAGTCAAATTATCTAAAATTCCAGTTGTATTCCTACACTTGCGACAAAAAGAAAGGAAATATACCCCAATACAAAAAATCACATAAGGACAAAAAATATCCTAGACATAATGATGCATCAACAACTTCAGTTGCAGACATTATTTCTCTGTATCTCCTTCGAGAGTCATATGTTCTGAATTTGAATGCCATTGCCTGCAATTTGATTTAAAGAGTAAACAATGAGGCCATCAAAACTTGGACATTTTTCCCACTGATGTAACCATCCCTCATGTTTTGTTGTGAATCAAATTGAATAACCTGAAATATGACTACTCTAGTGGTAAATATGGAGTTATTCTGCTACAATGTGCTCAATATCGAATACTGAAGAGACAACTATCTTGTGCTAAACATGGCAGGAATAGGAAGGATGTGCTTGTTCGTCTAACATCAGCAAGATACTAAGCCGCATGATTCTGGGTTAAAGGCAAAGGTTGCAATCTTCTGAAGTGGGTCTCGGATGGAGGTGTGGGCCATTCAAATAAAGGATTAACTTGACATTTTTGAAATTGGATGAAGATGATTAAAAAAAATGTTGCTCTATTGACCAGTGTAGGATGTTTGGAGAAAATGTGTGAGAAGTTAGTGGAATAGCATGGAAGAGTGTACGTCTCTGATGCATAGGATTCAAATAAATGTCGTACAAGGTTTACATTCTCTTGAGTTAGTGAAGTTTTTTCTAGGAAATTCAAGGCAATGCCTTTTTCTTGCTGTTGTTAACAATTTCCTGCCAGTTTCTTTGACTAAGTTGATAAACTTGGACATTTTTCCCACTGATGTAACCATCCCTCATGTTTTGTTGTGAATCAAATTGAATAACCTGAAATATGACTACTCTAGTGGTAAATATGGAGTTATTCTGCTACAATGTGCTCAATATCGAATACTGAAGAGACAACTATCTTGTGCTAAACATGGCAGGAGTCGGAAGGATGTGCTTGTTCGTCTAACATCAGCAAGATAGTAAGCCTCATGATTCTGGGTTAAAGGCAAAGGTTGCAATCTTCTGAAGTGGGTCTCGGATGGAGGTGTGGGCCATTCAAGTAAAGGATTAACTTGACATTTTTGAAATTGGATGAAGATGATTAAAAAAATGTTGCTCTATTGACCAGTGTAGGATGTTTGGAGAAAATGTGTGAGAAGTTAGTGGAATAGCATGGAAAAGAGTATGTCTCTGATGCATAGGATTCAAATAAATGTCGTACAAGGTTTACATTCTCTTGAGTTACTGAAGTTTTTTCTAGAAAATTCAAGGCAATGCCTTTTTCTTGCTGTTAACAATTTTCTGCCAGTTTCTTTGACTAAGTTGATATAGTTTGCCAGTGAGATATTTAATAAATGTTTTATTTTCATCTATCTATCTATTACTATTATTATATACTAAAGCAGTAGTCATTACTTACAGATACGAACAAAGAGTGGTCGTTTTAGTCTTCTTTTTTTTCCTTCTAAAACATGATGTAATTGTATATGTGCCCCTTAAATCATCCATAATTGCAAATTAGTCCCTCAAAACTTAGTATTTGCTCATTAGTCCCTCAAATCTATATGCCTCTTGCAATTAGTCCCTCTGGTTTAGTAGTGTGAGTTTTGAAGGGAATATTCCATTATCTGTAACGGAATGAGAGGCTTTACCCGCTATACCCTCATTTAAAACCTACCAACTTGTTACTTAGTGGGTTTAAATCCACAACCCGCTTATCCTAAAACCCGAACCGAAAAGTTTTTCTTCCCCAACAATTAATGGCACTCCGAAACCAATTTCAGAGCTCTTTCCATGGTAATATTCCCTCTAAATCCTATATAACCCTCTAAAATTTCCACCCTATATAAGTTGGGGCTATTTAGGTGATTGCAGATGTTAGGTTAATAGTTAACCCAAGTACCCAACCATGGTTAAAGGAATTAACAGAAAAACTAACAGAGGGATAAAATTGCAATAAACTTGCAGGTTTGAGGGACTAATGAGCAAATACCGAGATTTGAGGGACTAATTTGCAATTATGGATGATTTAAGAGACCAACATGCAATTCACCCTATATATTTCCTGCTATTAAACCCATCTTTTCAGCTTTTCATATGTTTATGCATCATTATGTGGGAATCAACCATATCAAAATTCAACAAGTATCTCACTTCACCTTCTCCTCTCCTCTTCTCTCTTTCCCGAACCAACGATCATCTAGTCATCTCTCTTTGGTTCTCGTGCACCGCACGGATAACAAACTGGTAATGATATATTTCCTTTGCACGTTCTCTTAATAAGACGATGTCACGGGTGTTAGTTTCCTTGGGGTTCTAAGTTCTAACCTAACCCTATATATCAATTTCAAATGCAAGAAACTTAAGACTCTCCCACAGTCCAAGTCCAAAACTGTCGACCAAAATTCAAAATTCCAAGAAATCAAACCTGCTCTTTATCTGAGGATCGATTCAGGCCGGTCGTAGAGAAGAGCCAAAGAGTGCAGATCACGAGAACTACCAAAGCAATTGAAAATTTTCCAACCAATCCCTTAAAATGCTTCGCTTGCCTCAGAGCTGCGCCTCTCCGGCCCCAAACATCTCTAAGAACCCAAAACGAACATCAAATTTGAGAAAATAAATAAATGAAATAAAAGACTAGAGCACTTACTTCCTCATTTGCTTTAGAGATCGCCCTTCGATCTTTCAGTAATCGATAATTCTTCGAAATTGAAGCCAGTGAGATTTTATTTGTTTTATATATGTTTTCTTTTTTTTCTTTTTCCTTTTTTTTCTTTTTTCCCCCCTCTCGTTTCTTTTTCCTGCTTTCAGTAGCTCGTGAAGTCAAGATCTGAATGAAAAGTGACGGTGCAGGTTAGCGGTATTGTGCTGCGGGATCTATTTAAAGATTTAAATGGCACCCAATTCATCACCTCATAAGAAACGTGGGCCCCTGAGGCTCTCCAACCCGAGAAGAATAAATAAGGGTCAATATCATAGAATCCCTCTCTACTTTGTGGGGAAGTTTATTTATCTCACTTTAAACCCCGAACTATGGAGAGTTTTACAACAACCTTCTAAACTTTAGCTTATCTCACTTAATTCCCTGTTGTAAATTGGAAATAACTAAAATTATGTTGCTTTAAATGGCATGTTATGAAGTTTGAGAATTTTTCACACAAAGACATTTTAGTTATTTACAAATAACTGACTGTGGGGTCTCGAAAAAGACGATACGACTGGTTCTTCAACTGCTTGGTTGTATGAAGAAATTCTATCGCTTGGTAAGAATTTTTTTTTTACAGTCGCTCTTTTTCAAGTAAAGAAGAGGAGAAGATTGATTCTACTTCTCCTTTGTTTAACGTGGGTTCGATGTGGCGATGAGATACCTCGCTCAATGTTTGTGTCGAGCTTACTTCTCGTTGACGATCGGAGCAAGATTGCTTCAACTCGAGGAGGAAATAGCCTCTTTCGAGCGCTTTAGTTGCTTTTGCGGCTGTTGTTGGCTCTCGACGTACGTGCGTCTGATGTTTTTTTATGCCTCAAAATCCGATGCCTAGGGTCTCCAAAAAAAGGTCCCTTTTTCATAGTTGTTCATGGATATTTATAAGCGCTCAGTGCGTAACTGACGCTAAGATCATGGAATCAGGAGCGTAACTGACTCCTTGGATTTAGCCCACGCGGGTTGACTGGGTCTTCATGACCATTAGCCTCCTGACGTCGATCTTCATTTGATGGGACGAGCGTCGCTATGTGGCGAGGTTCGTCTAATGAGACGAGCCTCGCTGCGTGGCGAGGTTCGTCTGACAAGGCGAGTTTCGCTGGGTGGCGAACTTCGACTTTGATGGTCGAACCTCGCTGTGCGGTGAGCCTTTTCTTCTGGGGCGAGTCTTGCTACTTGACGAGGTTCGTCTATGGATGAACTTCGCCTGACGAACTTCGTATTCTGACTGGGCTTCATTTTCTAAAGGAGCTTCGTCTCCAATGATGAGTTTTGTCTTCAATGACGAGCTTCGTCTTCAATGACGAGTTTTGTCTTCTGAATGATAAAGCATTGAGAGCTTCATCCCTAGGCGAACCTCGCCTTCAATGACGAACTTCGTCATGCTAGTAACGAGCTTCAAGACTCTTTTGTTTCTTAGCATTTTTTAGTGCCTACACTAACATGGTGGTTAGGGAAGATGAGCTAAAGTGTTTTATTTTCATCCATCTATCTATTACCTCATAATGAATCGTGAGGGTTAGGTGATATTTAAGTGGCACCCAATTTATCACCTCATAATGAAATGTGGGCCCCCCAGGCTCTCCAAACCAAGAAGAATAAATAAGGGTTAGTAAAATCCCTCTCAAATTGGGGGGAACTTTATTTATCTCACCTAACCCCCGAACTATGGAGAGTTTCACAACATATTTGTAAACTTTAGCTTATCTCACTTAACCCCCTATTGTAAATTGGAAGTTACTAAAATTTGCTTTAGGGAGGAAAAAAACTCAAAGCTTAGGAGAAAAGATTATGCTGCTTTAAATGACATGTTATGAAGTTTGAGAATTTTTCACACAAAGACGTTTTAGTTATTTACAAATTACAGATGTGAGGGTTAGGTGAGATAAGCTAAAGTTTAGAGGGTTTTGTGAGACACCCCATAGTTTAGGAAGTTATGTGAGAGAAATAAAGCAGGGGGTTATGTGCAACACCCCTCAAAAGTTCAAGGGGTTTTGTAATTAACCTATAATAATCAATATGGAAAAGAAAAATGCTAATCATACTACAAAATCTATATATATATACTTTAATTTAAAAAATGAATTTAAGCGGTTTAATATGTTAATAGTTATGCCTTGGATGACTTAATACCTATCAATGTTAATAAATCCCTATCAATGCACACATCTATAATTACGTGATGAGGCCTGCGATATGTTTGAGCTTTTCTCTCGTTCTCTTTTAGTAGCGTTGGATTTTTATTGCATTTTTAAAAACTGAGATTGGATTTCCGATGACCGCCTAAAACTCAGCTCTAATGGCATGTTTAGCAAACGTGAAAAATGAGGCCAGGTTTGGGTCCAGCCCCATTATGAGTTGAAACTTGATTGGGAAAAAATAGGTCAGAGTTGGTCTAGTTTTAAATGGGTTTTTTTTACGCTAGTTCTTCTCAAAAGTGGGTCAGGAATGATAAAAATTGTGAAATGATGCAGGTTACTCAAAAGGATGATTGGCACCACTCTTGTAATTTACACTCATCATTATTTATATTTAGAAAAAATTATATTGATCGATTTAAAATTTTTAATCGTTGTTTTAGCGATGTGTAGAAGAGACGGTTGTTAACCTTCCTGAAAAATCAACATATTAAATTAGTTTGATTCATATTCTAGAAGATACCAAATTATTGTAGAAGTTTAATTCATGATTAATTCATGGAGATTAAACACAAGAACGCGGAAGCAATACCTGAATCCATTGTTTGGATCTGAATTAAGGTTTTGATGATCTTCTAATCTTGATGGTCTCTCTAGCCAAATTTATCTCTAGATGTGGGATGAAGAGAATTAGAGAATGTAACCCTAGATTAGGGACCATAACCCCTTATTTATAGTTGTTGTACTTTTATAATTTGGCCCCTCATCAAATTATAATTACAACCTGGTATCTGCACATTTAGCCTATGATTTATTTAAATATCCATTAACCCAAATTGATTGATCACTTTATGTGGATTAGCCTTAAAGATAGCATTATACACTAATGTAACATATACGCCCATAATTAGATTTAATCCAACAATTATGTGAATTTTTTTTATATATACTTGATAATGTGTTAAACAAGATGTATGATGTCGGTCATGAATTGATGAGCTGATTAGTCTAGCTCACGATAATATTTGAGCTTACCATCTCAAAATATCATTACTCATGTGTATATATATACATACATATACTGGGACGGGTAGCTAGTCCGAGCAGCTGGCTGTGTCTCCGGCTCAGTAAAGCCCTATTTTGAGCACTGATCTTTGTCTCTGTCTCCTTCTTCATACTCTTTTACAGTACAGTCGTCTCTCCCGCGACCTCCTCTCGCTCGCTAGGCTCCAACAACATTGCGCTACGAGCTGAGGCCACGCGCTCAATCTGTGACTCCTCCACAATAGATTCAGTGTATCATTTGCTTTCTATTCGAACTAAATTATATATTACATATCTCATTGTTATTGGAATTTCAAATAGTTGTATTTTCATCGTTTTTTTTGGCAGTACCCGATGAAGCTAAATGTAAAGGATTCGGATCCTCTCCACTACAAAAAAAAAAAAAAATAGTTTGCGTTTTCCGCTCATCATTGCTATAGTTCTAGTTGATGGTTATGATTTTTTCTTTTAGTGCAAATTAGGAATGAGTGCAATACACGGGGGTATGGTAAGTGTTAAATTTAGATTGTATCATAACCGCCTACTAAATAATCAACGCTTGAGATTAAAAGTAGTGGTCTCTTCACTACTTTTTTGTAGTGGAGAGGATCCAAATCCAAATGTAACACACAACATTAAGTATCTAGAACAGAAAAAATTGACATAGTGTGTAAGAAATAAAAAATCATTTGGATATACTAATTTTCTTTACCACTATTAGCCTCTCTTCTTGCACCCTAGACTGATAACTCCACACTTGGCGTGCTGAAGCCTGAAGGCTCAGCCGAGCGTGCAAAAGGTGCAAAAGGGAGCAAAGTAAATCATTCTATTTATTCAGTATAATTTTGTATACACAATAATAATATAAGATTTAGTTTCCTCCTATATCTTTAAAATTCTCTTGTGGTTCTTCATCGCATCAATCATAGCCTACCTTTTACTCAAAAGAAAACAAATGCAGTTAGGTATGGTTCAAAGATAAAGATTGGCTATAAGTTCCATACTTAGGACCATATTTTTTTATTAAAAAAAACATTTAAGTTGATATTTTTGGCAGCTTCCTTTGCAGTGAAGTTGTCGTCTATGAAGGAGAGAAGTTACAGAACGAAAGCCAAAACTATGTTATGCTTTGTGAGGCGAACACAACATTCAGATTGAATGAAAAATGTCATGCAACTTATTTTGCTAAATAATGAAAGGAAGAAAACTTATACAAAGTAACGCAGGACCACCAATAAATGGAAAATAATTTCGCCTGTTAATTAGCCCACGGCACCAATAAAACAACATTTTTTCTTAGAAAAATCCCTACAACCTCAATATGAAGTTAGAGAAACACTCTAACCTAAACTATAAATAAGGTAGAATTTCAAAGGAAACATAAAGCAAACCATTTAATTACAGTTCCATAGATATACAGTAGAAAATTAAAGGCTTAGTCAAGTGACCGGGTCTCGTCTACATTGAGTGACCATGATCAACAAATAGTTTTAGCTATAAATAACTATTCAACTATGCGATTCAAAAGTCGCTTTGGCCGAGTGGTTAAGGCGTGTGCCTGCTAAGTACATGGGGTTTCCCCGCGAGAGTTCGAATCTCTCAGGCGACGTTGGTTTGGAATTTTACATTCCCTTTTTGTTCTGTTAAATTAATTGCTAAATCTTATTCTTTCTCCAAAATAAAATTTGAACATACACTGTTAAATTAACTTCCTTACAATTGTCTAGTAGTAAAAATACAATTTAGAATTTGGCCCTGTTAAATTAGTTGCTAAATCTTTTTCTTTCTCTATAATCCATTTAACTCAGTGGTTAGAGCATTGCTTTCAAGAGTCGTCGGTTCAAATACAATAATAGGAAAAACTTATTAGATACCATTGATTGACAATCATGTAAAGGGTTTGAAAGTTTTTTTTATAAAATTGATCTAGTTTCAGCTGACGTGGCTGAAACTAGTAAAAATTTTGGTTGCGGGTAGAAAACGATAATTAGTTTTCGAAATGGTCTATTTCAATGATTCAAGTGCAGATTAGGGGGCGTTTAGTAGCTTGCAATTGGAGTAGTTGCAACTTCACTTGCAGGCAAATGGGTCAAATTTATCCAATTGCAAGCGTTTATTTTGTTGCAACTCACAGTTGCAGTTACAAACCACAATTGCTAAACAACCCTTAGTTGCAACGTATGACTTACGTCAAAAACGCCCGCAAGTCACAGTTGCAACTGACCTAAATTTATTAAAAATCAAAATCATTACTTAATATTAAAAAAAGAAATTCATTAAAGATTCAAAATAATCTTTAAAAAAATTATTATCATAATAATTTATTCAAAAAAGATTTAAAAAAATAAAGTTATTTATAATTATTTTTTGTAATAAATGTTTTATGAAAGTAATATCTTAAAACATATTTTTATAAGATAAATTTTTAAAAAGTAATAATTTTATAAAATATAATTATGAAAAATATTATTATTCTAGAAAAATTAAAATATTACTATGTTGAAAAACATTGTTTTTATATAAAACATATTAATTTTTAAAAAATAATATTTTTCAAAAAGTATTACTTTTTAAGAAATTTTTCAAAATAATATATTTTCCTAAAATATATTGTTTTTTAAATATAATATTTTTAAAAAAAATATAATTTTCTAAAAAATAATAAATTTGTAAAAACTAGATTTTGAAGAAATATTATTTTTTGGAAAAATTCTTGAAAAAATAATTAATAAAAAGTTTATTATTTTTTAAAAAATAAATTGAAGAGTAAAATTTTCCTTGAATACTATTATACTTTGTTAAAATATTATTTTTGTAAAATTTCAATAGTATTTTTCAAAAAATTACTAACAAGGATTAATTTTTAATGAAATTCATTTACAAAACTATATTTTTAGCCAAAAATTATTATTTTATTTTATAAAAATATATTTTTTTAAAATAGTTTTTTAGTAAAATATTATTTTAGACAAATATTATCTTACGATTTTTTTAAAAAAAAATTAAAAGACAATTTACTTAATAGTATAAACCATTATTTTTTTAGAAATAAATATTTTAAAAGTGTGAAAGGAATTAATAACTTCAATAATTTATCAACAGTAAAAAATAAGTTGCGTATGTTAAGTTACAAGCAAAATCAAACAACTGTCAATGTAAGTTACAAAATTTAAATTTTAAACCAAATAATTATAACTATAGTTGTATGTAAGTGACGCTTGCATTGCAAGTATAGTTGCAAGCAATCGTAAGCCACCTTAATGTCACAATGGACCCAGACCATTTCTCAGCTCAAAATTGGGCTGCAAGAAAATCCAAAAATGGCCCAATCTTTATTAGGCGCAAATTCTTCCCTTCTTCCTCCGGGACAACCCAGGCCCCTCAAACTTTTATTCATCTTCACGCGAATAAAAAAGAAAAAGAAAAAGCCTAAACCCTCGCAAAATCTGCAGCTGCTCCCAATGGCGAAAAACCTCTCAACCTCCAAGAAAAAGCAAGAGGAGCTCCTCGAAACCCTAGGCGATTTCACCTCCAAAGAGAACTGGGACAAGTTCTTCGCCGTCCGAGGAGCCGGCGACTCCTTCGAGTGGTACGCCGAATGGCCCTCTCTTAAAGCCCCTGTCGGCAACCACCTCTCCTCCGCCGCCGAGATCGCCGGAGCCGCGCCGAATCGCTGACGGGATTCTCCGTGCCGGGATGCGGCAGCTCGCGCCTGTCGGAGTATGTTTATGATTTAGGGTTTCGGAATGTTACGAACATCGATTTCTCGAAGGTGGCGGTTTCGGATATGTTGAGGAGGTACGTTCGGTCCCGGCCGGAGATGAAGTGGAGGGTTATGGACATGACTGAGATGCAGGTGAGAGAAAATTGGAAATGGATTTGTTTTTTGTTTTGTTTGAGGTCTTTTTTTTGCATGATTTTGGGAAGATTGGTGGAATTACGCGTAAATTGTGCAACTGTTTGGGTGCTTTGGGCACTTTACTGCATTATTATATATTTGATTGCCCTTCATGCTGTGAGTTGATTTTTTGAAATCCAAACAGCTATCAAGTTTGAGCTTTTGGTGTTTCCGAATATATTTGATCCTACAGGAGACATCAGCATACTTCTACTTGGAACTTATATATTTTCTTGTATGGCCACATTGTTGGATTTAAATCTAATTAAATCTATTTGTGGGCACATATGATTAATCAATGTGTATTACTATCTTTAAGGATAACCCACTTAAAGTGATCAATCAATTTGGATTAATAGGTATTTAAATAAATCATGGGGGTTATATGTGCAGATATCAGGTTGTAATTGTAATTTGATGAGGGGCCAAATTACAAATGTACAACACCTATATATAAGTGGTTATGGTCCCTAATCTAGGGTTAACCCACTCTCATTCTCTTATCCCCATCTAAAGAGATCCATAAGAGAGAAACCCTAAGGTTAGAAGATCATCAAAACCCTAATCAAGTTTTATTCAATGGATTCAGGTATATGCTTCCGCATCTTTTGATTCTTGTTAATCTCTTTGAATTAAATCATGACTTTATGGTTTAGATCTCAAGTTTTTATTAGATCTAACACACATGGTCTCATGTTAACTAAATTAGTGTGCGCGCGCACGCTCGTAGGGATTTGAGTTCCCTCCCTCTATGTGGAAGCTTTTAGGCGTGAGTTTTGCTGGGTCCCTTGCAAATGGTATAAGAGCCAACCCTACCTTTCCAGTTGTAAGCGAGCGGCGCTTTGGTGATGCGGGCATTCTAGGGTAGCGTTGGTATTGCAGTGTTTGACCATGAGTAGACTAGTGCAAAACTAGCCTGCATGGGCATCGGGACAGCAGAAGTGCAGTGTTATAGTAGGGCCCATTTAATCATATTGACTAAACGGAGAGGGAATCGTTGGTTTACAAGTGATTTGAGTTTCTTTTCCCTATCACTTAGCTTTTGTGGGTGTGTTCTCTTAGGTCCCTTACAATATCTTTCTTGCGCAATATGTTAAAACTTTCAGATCCACTGTTATTGTAATGTGGAAAGGTATGGATTTAAGAAAACTTCTGGTGGTAGTTATTGAGTACGTAGGTTTTTCTATAGTGGACTGATGAAGACTAATTAACTCGGGCAAATGCTGATGTACATCGATTACTTTATCAATAAAGTTGCTGCTTTGCTACCCTTAGCTGATATGACAAATGTAGGGTGTTTTTCTCTTCTAAAACATGGCATGCCTAAGATATAATACCTTGTGCATTTTTCTCAGAAAACTATCTTCATATGTAATTCTTTTGCTTGTCATCCATCAAAATTATGATGAGCAATAAGATCAGGTACCTGGATCCATCATATTAGAGACTTGTAGTGCGTTTACATCCGTTAGCTATCAAAGCTGGTTTCATTATCTCGAGACAATAAATTGATATTAATACTTATTTTATTACTGACAATTGGGGTTTTATGAAATAAAATAGATGAGGTGGGGTTTTCGAAATTCTAGATTAGAATTTAGATCAATACACTACTACAAAAGCCCCTTATAGTAATGGTTCCAACCGTTGCTTATAGGCCTCTTAGTAACGGTATGGACTGTTTCTAATATATTAACAACAGTTAAAACCGTTGCAAATAATCTGTTACTACTAAAGCCATTGCAATTAGCTTATTGCAACAATCTAAACCCGTTGTAAATATAACAACTGTTGCTATTAGATTAATTTTTATAAAATAATAAAAATTCCACGTCAGCAAATCCTAACCGTTGCTACAATCTATTAACAACAAAAGGCAACCATTACTATAAGATTTAATATTTTAGTTTTTAAAAAATAAAATATCCACATCAGCAAAATCCTAACCACAACTAAGTTATATTAACAACAGAAAACCGTTGCTATAGGGTATTAAAAAGATATTTTCATCAAAATATTACTGTTTATTCTCGCATCTAACTGTAGTAATGATATTCATCTATTTCCGATCATTTATTTCAATACATGATATCATTCAAATGAAACAAATAATTACCATCATAAATAAGAAATTAACTTAATCAATTAAAAAATAACGAGTGTTCGATACAAGCTTTGTCAATAAATTCAATGAAGTGATAATCAACTATAGAACTTTGAGTTTAGATCATTTACAATGTTCACAACTTCTCCACAGTCCACATCCTACAACTCTTAACTGAAATGCAAATCTAACAAATGAAAACTTATTCAAAGACTTATGACAGTGAAGCAATAAACCATGAATAATTAGAATTTGAATGATAAAGATCATGGCGAGCCCATTAATTATCAAGACGAGTTCTTCCTTCGTCGAGTCTCTCCCAATGCTGAGTCTCCTTTCAACTGATTCTATCCAAAATATTCTCCCTTCACCATCCATCACCTCGCAACCTTCATCCCGCCACAAACTATGGAGATTTAGAAATAGAAAAACGGATCATCTCCTTTGATGAGCTGATTTTACAACGAAATACAAGCTGCCAAAAGAATTGTTGTGTTACAATCTTAAAATCAGGTCATAGAAAATAACACAAATGCATGAAGAAAGTAACTACAAGATGATGGTTTACATAGAGGCACACTAAAAATTCTCATACTAGAAAGTCTTTAATGATAGTATCTACATAAAATAAGAACTAGCAAGTAATCCCAAAAAAAAGACTGCAGTAATGCCCTCGATGATGACTATCTGAACAGTTACAAATACTCCTCTGCAATCATTTTTCCCGTAGGCAATCAAACACATGGATCCATCTGAATAGCAGTTCCCTGGTTTCATATAATTCTAAGCTAGAACTTTGAGAGTGCATCTTTTACTAATTAGTTATTTGGTGAACAATTCGAAGTCTGAAGTAGGTTTAAGTGAAGATTTGCAGTCTCACCGCCAAGCTATAGGTGGATGACCGGAGGTTATTCAAAACTGCCTCCATAATAGGATGTTCAATAAAAAGTAACTGATGGAAGTTAAGGAGAAAAGTGAAATATGATAGCAAGTACATTTTAGCAAGAAATTATAGAAATTTTAAGCTATAAATAAAACCAAAGGGATTTGTATGTTATAAAAGAGTAAACTATCACTTTACCTTGGAAGGATTGCTGGCCCAATCCTTCAAGTATGATATGAGCTTCAAAGCATCTGAGAATGGTAAAGACTGCAAACACAAAGAATGGTAAAACATTTAACGACACTATTAAGAATGTACACGTAAGCATTCAATCATCTTCTAAGTACTAAAGCATGAAATCAGAGAAGTCTGTTTAACCAGAAACCTTAGCATACTGTATTTCACAAGGGTGTTATATGCAAGATGTATGTGACGTGCACTTTTGACAAATAACAGCAGCGGCTCTAGTAATTACAAAAGCACAATACAGAATAGCTTAATCACAGTGAAATATACATTTTATTTGAATTTCTGATTTAAGGAAAAAAATGTAAGAGGTGCACGTCTGAGTACATCATACTGTATATGTGTGCAAAAAGATACCTTGACATCTATCATTTATCACCCAATTCATTAACACCAATTCACTAACACACACCGACACACAGGTCTATACACAAAGAGGGGAGAAACATACATTCAAACAAGCATGTATGAGATAATGTTAACTTATAAATATAACAGATTCAGCTACACACAGGTACAAACAGACACATACACAGAAAATAAAGGGAAGTACAAAAATAAATGGTAGCTAAAAAGCAAACTTTTCAGTTTTCACATATATACGTAAACGTGATCTACAGAAAATCTCCTGGTAATTTTACTCACAAGTCTAGCAAGAGACAGGCTTGCAAATTAGATGTGGAGTGTTAAATACTAGAATAAAATATTCATCATAAAACAACAGATAATCATGCTGATGTATTTCCTCTATAGTAATGTGATAACATTATCCTTACTAATTGATAAAATCAAACCATGACATTCAGTAAAAAGATCTACTTAGTTACATACCAGTAGGGTCTGCTCTAGATCATTTGTCTGAACATTGGAAATTGCATGAAGAACATAGTCAGATGGACTAAGCCCACGCAGCAGATCATTCGGTTGAAGTGCACTACCTTTTCCACTTCTTATATCCTCCTGAAAATTAGAAAAGAAATAAAATACTTGTTAATGCTTGAAGTAAAAGGTCACAAACTTTTAGTAGACAACTGCGAAATCTTGTGTAGTCTTGGGAAAATTCAACACAAACATGTCCGCCGATCTTCACTTTTGTATGACGCTTATCTTGCGAACACACTCCGGGATCCATCATCATCGCTTTCATATAGAGCATAAAAGATATATCATCTTTTTTGCCAATGCTCTTGTACAGGCTTTCATATTTCTCCTTGATCCATCAACAATGTCAGATTTCTCTATCCCAGTGCGACCATCGACAACAATGTCGTATAGAAACGTTTCTCTTTTTTTGCTCTGTGTAGAAATCTGCAGTTAAACGGATAACAAAGAAAATAACTAAATAAGTAATTCTATTAAAAGAAATAGTTTAGGTGAGTACTACATAAAAAATTCCGGTACTATGTGGAAACTGAAGCAAAGGGCAACATCAACTTGTACTGACGACACATAAATAGACGTCAAAGCCCTTATATGAGTTATTAATGGCTCTAGCTGGACTTTTATCCACGATAACAATGAAAGGGATCAACCTAGAAGGCTAGAACCTTTCAGAGAAGTGTGTCAGAAATAGTCATGTTAGCACATCAATTGGAGCCATAAACATGTCTTTTAGCCATTGTCAAAGTTAAAATTTTTAACTAGACTCTTATGTTTCTTCTTTCTTTATAAGTGACAACTACTTCTATAAGGCAGATACTTTATTTTCCTGCTGATATATACCAAGAAAATGGTGGGCGTGGGAGGTTGATAGGAAAATTATTCACATAAAACAATACCTCTAGTATGATTACATCGAGCCTGTTACAAGTTATGTTGAAATATCAAAAGTAACATACAGAAACCAATGTTAGATTAAATGAAGTTTACCTGACTGCTTCAAGTCTCGTAGCCTGTTTCAAAATAAATTAAAATAGTGAAAAGTTACTCCATAAATGTTAAACCGAGTGAAATAAACAAACACCATGAAGCTAGATTACCTTTGAAATTGTTCAGTGTCTATAAATTAAAGCTGAGTTGTGATCATTCAGTGAATAGTTAATCATTCAAATTGAGGACAATTGAAAATATCAGAATAAAAAGAAACAAAGGGCGAAACATTAATATGATGGAAAACTAAAAAAGTAAAGACGACAAATAAGATCAATATAATATATTAAAATACTATCAATATAAACATCATACTTAATTGCATCTGCTGAACTTTATTCAAAGCAAAAAAAAAAAAAAAAACTTCCACGGTCACATTAATAAGAAATCAGATTGGGGATTTTTTACAAGTTGAATAAATAACTTAATCACAATAATAAGAAAGTTTATAATACCTTTGTGGAGTGAGGTGATCATCGCATGCAATTGCCAGAAATCGGAAAGGGGAAGACACGCGACCACAATATTGCACGACTCGATTGGATAGACGCCCAAAGATCTGAAAAGCAGTGGACTTGAGGCGTGATTGGAGGTCAATTAACACTTTCAGAGCGGAGCTTTGTTGGGTCAAGCGGAGGATCATGGGTCAATCGAGTTTTTGAGAGCGGCCGGAGTTTTTTTGGGCTGATCGCACGGAGGCGATGAGGTGAGATCGGAGGGGTTTAATTAGAGGGAGAGCGGAGGTTACAAGGGAGAGAAATCTGCGGAGATGACTACGTGAGATCGGAGGGGTTTAATTAGAGGGAGAGCATCTGCAGAGGTGACGACGTGAGATCGGTTTGCGGAGTTTTATTCGCCCCCCAAAAATTAGTTTCCCACCTTAATTTTAATAAAAATATTTATTTTTCTTTTAATTTAATTGAGATATAGTTGACAACTGTTTCAAATAGAAAGAAAAAATCAGATTTGATAATAACCGTTTCAATAAGGTTTAATAGCAACGGTTTAATGAATTAACTGTTACTATAAGGAGCTTTTGCAGTAGTGACAAAACAATATCCTGATTGCCTTATTTGTTATTCACACTAATGGTTTGGTGTCTGTCACGAAGCCCGTTTTCATGCCATGAGTTCTCTCTTTAAAGTAATAAATAACATTTAATCGTTTCTAATTACTTCTCTTTCTAATACTATCTAGTTATACACCAGTTTACAGATGAATTCTTTGATGTTATTCTTGATAAAGGGGGTTTAGATGCATTGATGGAACCGGAGCATGGTGTAAAGCTAGGGAGCAAATATCTTAAAGAGGTGGGTTTATATATTGATGCAGTTTTTGTTGCTTGCAGTATATGTATATTAATAATTCCAACTAAGTACATTTTGCAGTTACATATTTATAAGAGGATCTAACTGCCTCAAGTTACTTTTCTTTTCCTAGGTGAAGAGGGTTCTTAAAATGGGAGGGCGATATCTCTGCCTGACACTAGCTGAGTCTCATGTTCTAGGTTAGTTTCATGCTACATGCTACCCAAAATATTTATTGGCAAAGGTTGCAACGTTATCCGTAACATCCTTTTGCAGGATTGCTTTTCTCTGAGTTTAGGTTTGGATGGGAAACCAATATCCTTGCTATAGCCCAAAAAGCTGGTGGAAAGCCTTCCTTCCAAACCTTTTTGGTTTCTATTGTAAAAGAAAAATTGGGTTCAATAAAACCAGTGATATCATCATTTGATCATCGTTCTTTGGGTTGTAATGAGAAGCAGGTACGGTGCCTTCCTACTTGCCTGTTGAGATAAATCATATGGGAACCACATGTGTATTTGAAACTTGAGGGTTGTTATTAAAGGAATCTTTTGTGTATTTTTATGCTTCAAATATTCCTGCAGATTAAGGCTTTAGTTAATATTGTTGAAGAAGAGAACCAAATCCGCACCGATTATTCGTCTAGTGCAGATATCATGTATTCTTTACAAGAGCTACAGCTTGGAGCCAAAGGAAATTTAAAGGAGCTTCAGCCAGGACGTAGGTTTCAAGTGGTTCTTGGTGAACAAGGGGAATCTCTTTATACATACAGAACTGTTCTTTTGGATGCCAAACAGCAGCTTGCGCCATTCTTGTATCACTGTGGAGTCTTCATAGTGCCTAAGGTAAGTGCACATACAGAATAATTTGTAATTACTTACTCAATTCTGTACATGGAAGCAAAAACATCTATCTTTCGTCCAAGTATCCAAGTGGATTTCTAAGTCGGATTTGGATATTCCTATGGTATATTATGGTTACCTGTGTATCCTTAGAATGTCTTAACTTCTGATGCTTATCACTCTTAAGTTGCACCGTTAACACCATGACTCTGCCCCTGATGTTTAACTATTGTTAGATTTCAGACTCGAGCTCATGAGTGGCTGTTTACTTCTGAAGAAGGGCAATGGCTGGTAGTTGAAAGCTCAAAAGCAGCTCGTCTTATCATGGTACCTTCTCAAGAGACTACATGTGCTTAACTTTTACTATACCTTCTCCAGCAAACCATTTGTTATTGCTCCTTTCAATTTCATCAGGTTTTCCTGGACTCAAGGCACAGCCATTCTAGCATTGAAAATATCCAGGTTAGATGGCCTCCATTTGATGTTCTTCCAGTTGGCTCCTAATTAGAAATTATGTCACACTATTCTTTTTCTGCATTACAGAAGGACTTATCTCCACTTGTAAAAGGTCTGGCTCCCGGTGAAGAGGATGATCGAGCTGCAATCCCGTATGTTTTGCATATATTTTTGTTTAAAAAGTGCAATATGCATAAATTTCTGTTTATGTAGATCTATTAACTACTGTTTTTCTTGGTGGTCGTCCATGATTGCAGGTTCATGATGGCCAATGATGGAGTCAAGGAGCGAAACATTGTACATAAGGTATCATCATATTAACTAGTTCGCTGTTGTGATGTTCCACATTTTCTGAAGGTAGCCAAGAATTTTACATTGTTTGATGATTGCTACATCTGGAGACTTGTTTGTTGATCTACTCTTATCTTTTTCATTTTCTTTGGTCCCTTTCGTTGATTACATTTTTTTCCTGCTTCTAAATTTGGGAGGGCTTTCTGCAGGTCTGACCATGTCAAGTTCTTTATACTTGCTAGTGCAAGATAGCCTTTGTGTAAACGCTAGATTATTTGCAAGGATGCAGATAATCAAAGTATATAAATTCTACTGAAGGAATAACAAAACTCATTTATGCCCTGAAATTATGCACATCGCCTAATTGTTATACCAGATGAGATATTAGTTTGAGAAAGATAGTAAAGTTACGTCCAATTTACTTTGTGTTATAAATTGATAGTTGAAAAGAAGGATTATACTCCAATTTGTTTATGCTGGAGATGGATACTTGACACTGAGGGAAAAGATCTCTGACCCTTAGTGTTTTTTCATTCTTAAGTCTTACAGGATTGACCTCCTGTTTTATTGTGTCTTGTGGTATTGATAAATGAAGAATAATCTAGTGCATTAAGTTTTAGTGTCTAGAATAGCACTTTCATGAATGCAATGAATCAGTGTAAAGTAAGAAGGGACTAAACTGGGTATAGGAGGTTTAAAGTCTGTTCAATGCGCTATGACATGCTATACAAGTTAAACTGCTATATGGTAGTTACAAATAACTTGTTTGAGTAAATATAATGTAGAGAAGATGCTATACAAGTTAAACTGCTATATGGTAGTTACAAATAACTTGTTTGAGTAAATATAATGTAGAGAAGGAAATAGATATGGGGTAGTTACAAATAACTTGTTTGAGTAAATATAATGTAGAGAAGGAAATAGATATGGCATTTAAGTTGGAGATTCCATCCTTCTTGGTAATAGAAAATCAAAGGTCAATGTTTAATTGATTATACTATTTGTGAGGTTGGAGATGAGGACGATGAGTCATATGACTCTTATAAACATTTGCATTGTGGCAGTACCTATTATTTCCATATGACAATTATGGCTATTATTTTCACATGACAATTATGGATGCTGTTTTGTGTATATTCATGTATGTTTATTAATTTTTTAAATCATCGATTAGGGATTCTCACACTTTCTTCATCTTCTGTGACATTTATTATTAGTATTGTATCAATATCATACATCCTCGACATATGCATGTGTAGTGTTACTGTTAAATTTACTCCATATGCTGTTGTGTGTATATTCATGTATGCCTATTAATTTTTAAATCATTGATTAGGCATTCTCATACTTTCTTCATCTTCTGTGACAAATTTATTATTAGTATTGTATCAATATCATACATCCTCGACATATTCATGTGTAGTGTTATTGTTAAATTTACTCCACACTTTATATTTTTCATCCTTATTTAATCTGCTGCCTTTCATTTTTCTGGCAAGGCTTATTTTGAAAATGTTGTTCAAGCACTATAATTTCTCCTGTTTAGTGTAGCTCTTCTTTTGCATGTTCTTCTTATAGGTTACATCAACCACAACAGGACCCATAATCGTGGAAGACGTGATCTATGAAAGTGTTGAAAATGAGAACTCTAGCCTCATCCCATCAGAGGTTAAGATGTTTCGCCGCCTAACTTTTGAGAGAAGCTTGGGCTTGGTGCAATCAGAAGCTTTGCTGACAACAGAAGAACCTAAAAACAGTCCTGATGATAATGAGAGGAGGAAAAATGAGTTATCTTCAAAATCTAAGAAAAAGGGGAGAAGAAAAACCGATTCTCGCACGTCGAATAATGGTAATTTTGGTTTCTTATCCAAATCTACTTGAATAAAGTTTCAGTCGTTTAAGGCATATTCTAATGTAAAAGAAATGCTTCATTTGAGAATTTTATTTTTCCTGTGTAAACTTCGATCAGATTCTCTTTCTCCATGTTTTGAGAATTTTCTGTTCCGGAGAACTGAGCCTTATGATGGTTTTAAGAAAAATAATGAGGAACCATCCAATTTTTTTTTCTGCAGAAGAAAAAGAGAGTTGATGTTCGGTCAATCCTTGTAGGAGGTTTATATCTTGTCAAGTTCTAGAGTTCACTTGATGTTTGCATATACTCGAGAGTCTTGAAATTATTAAAACAACGGGGACCTGAAACCAAGGTCCAACCCCATGCTCTTATTACCCTGGAAGCTCTGTTGAACATGAGTCTGATTTCTCCTTCAGTAGGTTCTGCTCATATTATAATCACATCATCTGATTATACCCTTGATGGCTACAATTTGTTCTGTCATTTTGTAAACCTAAACCTTTGCCAGATTGCCTGAAACCTTATTATCTTTTGATTGCGAGTTAATAAAGTTTTATTTAAAATGAAATAAGCTAATATAAATCTGTTTTCTTTATTACTGTAAGCTGGGTAGTTTTTGTTTTTTAAAGATTGGATGTGGATTGGGCTACAACCGCTAAGTGTGATCCTTTTGCTTGAAGAATCATATGCATTATCTTAAGCTTCTCAATATATATGAGACACCAAAGTTAGAATCTGGAGATTTTTTTTTCTTTTAACATTATATAGAGTATACAATTATTAGCTGTATGTATTAGATTTATTTTATAGTAATTCTTTAAGCTCCTCCCATGTGCTTTTGGTGGACAGGAATTGCTACTCTTATCCTTCTATTTTGTCATAAGAAACCAGTATCTTAGCTGGTTCCTGTCTCAAAAATATTCACAAAGAAATGCTTGCAAACTTATGTAACTCTTCTTTAGCACTGTAAAACTGTGTAGCATGCTCTTTTTTTTGGGTTTCTTTTCTTTCTTCATAATTTTTGAGGTAAACCTTTGGGACCCACACCTCAGCATTTTTGAAACCCCTCCTTTAAGTTCACTGTCAAGCATTAAATCTCTGTTTGTTCTTATAGGACATTCTTTCCAAAGTTTTAGCTTTTGCTGTTATCGTGTCTAGGATCAAAAAGCAGTCTCAAGGTTGACCATAGATGTTTGGCGAGCACTTATCACAGTGGAATTGTTTCTGGATTTTCTTTGATAGCTCCTTCTCTGGAGAATGCAGCTTCTTCACAGAAACAGGTAATATTGGTGATGATGTTCTGGTAGCATGTTTAAGATTTTGATGCAACATACCTGTTCCTTGTAGCCTCTGGACAGGCGGATGTACTTTTGATTCTTTTTCGCATCATTTTCAGCACTTGCCTAGTTTCTTTACATAGTTGCGTCATTTTAGGTTAAAACAGTTGTCATTGGTCTTGGAGCTGGGCTTCTTCCTATGTTTCTTCATGGATGCTTTCCTTTTTTGGATATTGAGGTAGAGTTCATATGCTTCATATTCTTTCCAGGCTTTGATTTGAGAAATTATTTTAAATGCTTGTTTTTCTTATCTGTACAGGTGGTAGAGTTGGATTCCTTTGTTGTAAAGCTGGCAAGGGATTATTTTGGGTTTACAGAGGATCTCCATCTGAAAGTAATTCTCATTATTTGATACATCCGAGTTAAAACTTATGTGTCATTAATATGTCTTGTTCCTATCATGTCATGTTTCCCAATGAACAAAATGAATCTTTGAAACCCATGAAACACATGATAATTTGTCATTGAATATATTTCTTAGATGTCAGGCTAGTATGTAGCTGCACAACCATTAGTATTCCTAGCTTGCACCTTCTCTTGTATAGCATGATGTTGCCTATTTACTTGGAGTATTTCTCTGGTCTCTTCCTACTCAGTCACTTTTTGCACTTTGTACTTGTGGCTTAAGTACTACGCGATATCTTACTAGCAAAACCTTAACCATTAATTGAATATGCTGTGTTACTCGCAGCCAATTTTGTAATTAACTGAATAACAGTTTTTGTAGCTGACAGATTTGTTGACATCTATATAGAGCTGGGCATAGTTTCAATATGGTGAAAATGAGCGTTGGTCATCAACTGCATGACTTCAGACTTTATTTCAAGTGTATCAGAGAAGATCAGTAAATTAAATGGAAATGTTTTACTAAATTATTTATTTGCCAGGGCAAGTATCTTTATCATACTAGCTTGTTTTTTCATTCAGTTCATTCTCTCTTCCAACAATTCTGTAGTTTAATGAGGGTCAGAATTATTCAGTAAATTGTTGGGAAACTTAGCTATTCAGTTGTTATCCCACATGTTTTAGGTACGTATCGGTGATGGTATCAAGTATATTCAAGATGCAAGTTTTTCCACCAAACCAGAGAAGGGTCATCCTCATGGAAACACACCAGAATCTGATGGAAAAAGCACGTCCTCTCTTATTAATGGGAATGACTGTACCACAGTTAAAATTCTCATTGTTGATGCGGATTCATCTGACTTGAGGTAATTGCTAATTGAGTAGAATATTTGTTTCCTGTATTGGTCAAGAAATTTTTTATACATGCAAAATTGTTTCTTTCTCCTGCTTGCAGCGCGGGGTTGACCTGCCCACCCGCAGATTTTGTAGAAGAATCTTTCCTTGTATCAGTTCGTAAATTCCTAGCAGAAGGCGGTCTCTTTGTCATAAATTTAGTTTCCAGATCTTCATCAATCAGAGAAATGGTTGTGTCAAGAATGACAGTGGTAAGAGCTAAGTGGAAAAGGTTACAAGTTGACTTGGATATTTTCACCTTTTAGATTTACTAGAATCTGGTTCATAATCAATGAATGAATTCTCGCAGAATATCTTTAAATGCTTATAATTCAAATAAACATCCTAGACAAGTACATAAAGAATCAGTTACTTGTCACTTGACATTTCCGTTGACGCTTGATCAATCAAATTCTGTTTGTACTTTGTTTTCTAAACAAAATGGAAATATAACTTGGAGGCATAACAGGTCCAAGATTTCCACTGTAATTGAATTATGATTTGTTCTTACAAATATCCTTCTTTGACAAAATAACAGTCAATTTTTAGGCCCTCCTGGAATTTCACACCCTTTGATACTATCTTTTTAAGCTTTGGAATTACAAAATGTTTGCCTGTCTTTCTTAAGATGAAGCTGAAGTTGGTAATCGTATAGATGGCAGTTCTTACTCATCTATACTTCTGATTGAGCGTACATTTGCATCAACGCTTGTATGGGGGAAACTCAGTTAATATATTTTTTCCTTTGAAGATTTCATATCCTTTACGTCTCGCCTGTTATGCTGATAACATGTAAGCATGTGATGAGGGTGGTGTTCATTCAAGAGTTTGTGGAGAAAAACAAAAATGGTGCCAGTTAGGTCTGATGATAGCAAAACTATGAATGTGAAACCATTTTTTCACCTTGAACCTCATCCTGGAATGCACACTTATCCACACATAGACACCAAAAGAAAAATTTTATGCATGAAACAACCTAGTTCGTTTACTCTATTATGGCTATGTGGATTATAATTGACGTATTGTGATAAAAACCTGCAGGTGTTTGACCGGATCTTCTCACTCGAGCTAGAGGAAGATGTCAATGAGGTTCTTTTTGCAACTACTATGGAGGTATGCAGAGAGGGTGACAGTCTCTCTGAGGCTGCTGCTCAACTGAGGAGCCTGATGAAGATTTCTCTACCAGAAACACAATTGGAGCTGCAGAAGTTGAAATGCCTGAAGTAGAATAAGCACGAGAGACGTGCACTTCAAACGCGCTCATTATCATACTTGCTCCAATTGTGGCTTGTTGTATTGTAGTCGTGAAGGGTAAAGATTTTGCACTTTGGAACTGAAGCTTTCAGCCAGGGAAACTAAATCAGAATTGATGCATTATTCGCATTCGTTTTGTCTGAGGATTGATCGACTGTGATTTTGTTGCGAATATTTACATCACAAATTTATGATTCCCTGGTGATTCTGAAAACATTTTGAACTCTTCCACGGGAGTGTAATATTTGCATTCGTGTATCCTATTTGTTTATCTTGATTCTTGAGCTAACGAAATAGGTTTAGGAAAACGTACTTAACGTGTCAAGAACCCAGGCTTAAACGGAGGGGTATTTCCTTAAAGCTAACAGTGTGTTTGGGAGATGATTTAGAAAAGGGAGGGAAGGAGAAGTTTTCCTCTTCCCTTCCCATTCATTATATCCCACACCAAATTGAGAGGTAAGATTTTGGCTCAAATTCCCCCGTCGTTCCCCACATCTGTCTTCCTAAATGAAATTCCCAAACAAGGTTAAAATTAGATTTTTCTTCACCCCTTCTCTACCCTCCATCCAAACATGTCATAAATGGTAGCTAGTTACAGGGACTAATCTGAGGGAGCGAGAAGCAATTTCAGTGATATGAGGGAGCAATTTCAAAATATTAAAGAGACGAGGGACCAATATAGGGAAGACGCGAATTTAATCTGGATGGTGATGGTTGCATTTCAGCCGTTGGATCCTTTCGCCCTCCCCGTTTCTGCCCCTTCTGATCAGTCGATTCTGGTTTGTCTAGGGCTCAGATTAGGGTTCTTCCGCTTTGATTTTGCCGACAGATTCGCCTCTAGTTTCAGTGATGGTGAAGCGGAGGAGGAACAAGGAGGCGGCGGGGGCGCGGCGACGCCTCCGCCTGCTGCCCAGCTAGCCTCCGGCTGGACTTAAGCCGACGAAGAGCAACGGGAAAGAAGAAGAAAGGCGTCGGCTGCGATTCGCGGCTTGCCTCCTTCACCAGCACCGACGGTGAAACACGATGAATCACAAGGCGAAAGGAACGAGGCAGGCGCGCAAGCCGGCGGCGGCGGAGCCAGCAGCCTGCCATGTGGAGGCCCCTGTGGATGACGACACCGCGTTGGATACCGGTGCCGAGTGCCTTGAATCTGAACTCCGCGAAGAAAATCCAGAAGCCCAGGTGGAGGGAAAATCGCTCAATAGACGCAGTTCATCTCGCCGGAGGCGACAGTGCTCCGATGAGGAAAGCCAAGAAGGAGAAGGCGAAGGAAGAGGGCCCTGGATTTATATTCATGTGCAGTTGGAGGACGAGGCAGGAGTGCTTCAGGCATGGGGTTTTTGGGATGCCCATGTCGAGAGCGGAGATCGTCAAGATGATCAAGCCGGAGATGAGGCTGTTCCTGTACAATGTCGGTCAGAAGCTCTTGTATGGGATTTTCAGGGCTTCGTCAGAGGGCGGGATGAATTTGGTGCCGGAAGCCTTCGGAGGATGTTTCCCTGCTCAGGTTATACTATCTCTCTTTGCATGCCATTTTGATCCGTAGCCATATCTTTTGGTAGCTTTTGTTGAAAAAGAAGAATAGTAGTCTGTATGTGTAGCTACAACCATTTTTTTAAGTGCCGGGTGCTTTTGAGGGGATGAACATGATGCATAGATGCATTGGCTGCGGTATTTGTATCTATGGAGGAGGGAACAAAGACTTTTCCTCCGTTTGTGGCTTGTGGTTGCAACTGCTTCTGCTATGAAGGAAAAGAAGAAGAGAGAACAAGAGGAAGAAGGTAAATGAGAAAAAAGTATGGACTTTGAAAGCAGAAATAGTAAAACGTTTAACAAGTTGATGGCGAAATTACCTTTTTGATGCGGATGGTTCTAGCATCAATTACTCTCTGTGGTTGCTACATATAGCGGTTGATGGAGAGAGGAACAAATGATCCGTATGTCGTGCAAATCAGGTATCTCTTGATATACGTACACCTTATGCTATGGAATGACACTCTTAAGTGCCTCAACGTGAGTAATTGAGGCGTATAAAGAAAATTTGTGCTTTCCTGTTACCAACTTCTCCTAGTGGTCATCTAAATGGATGCCAGACAGATTTTTAAGCGATGATAACATTGAGATGGTATACGATGACTTTGCAATTATTGACAACAAGGCTGGTGATTTTCATGGGAAACTGGATGTTATTGACAATCTCAGGATAAGGGTGCTACGTTTTGTATCTAGTAGAGGAATCTCATTTTACTTTCGTGATGTACTAATTACTTCAACAGTCCCCTTTAAGCTTAAGCATACACACACACACCACACACACGTGTGTGTTGTGTGTGTGTACACATATCAATTATGTCCCTCTTGTTACAAAAAACTAACGTGTTGTCCCGTATAATACTTCAATAAAAATATCATCAAGTAGTTATATCATATCCATTAAGTAGCCAACTCTAGTACTGTGTTAGAAACCTAAAAAGGTTCTTCAATTCAGTCTTCCCATCATTTGGTGAATGTGTTGCAATGAAAAATTCCAAACAATAAATGTTGAAGCTCATTTGATAGCGCTTATAGCATTTAGACTGGAAAATTGCCAGTGGTAGAATGTAGCCTAGTTGAGAAGACATAACTTGTTATTCAGTGCAAATACAGTTAAGATTATCATCTAAAAATTGTTACAATTTGTTGCAAATCTTGAAAATTCTTATTAATATTGTACTTTGAACATCTAGTATGGTGTGCCTAAAAGGAGTGAAGATCTAATTTTTAAAATGAATTAGACAATTAATAAGTTGCAAATGAGAGAATTGACTGATTAGAATAATTACCAAAATCTAACTTGCTTCTTAAGCACTTAATTTTGACATATATTGTATCCACAAATAAACTAGAAAGGTTGGGGCCCAAAAACCGAGAGATGGCGTTTAAATTTTTAATTAGATAAGATCGGACAATAATTCATTGAATATGAGTTGGAACGATGTGTGTGGTGGGTATTTGAGAGAAAATAGTCTATAATTGCAAAAAGATCAATGGAAAATGCATAGTGAATGACATTTTGCTCGGAGGGCTTGTTGTAGGGTAGCCCCAAAAGGGATGTTACCCACTTAATATTTTGACACGCGTCGACATGGTTTGGCATGTGCCAATGTGTACATGCATGTGTCCACATGTGCTCACATAGGCTCGTGATTATAAAAATTTGTTTGAAATCAGATTGTGTGTTAGGGATAATCAAGCCTGGTTTAGGCTCCACTCAATGTTTTAAAAGTTGTGTAGGCACCCACTAGTCTCCTGCCTAGGCCTAAGCAGTACTTAAGCATCCCATGTAGGTGTTGGTAGCGTCTAGGGGAGCGTAAGCATCTTATACGAATCGAAGTGATTAAGTCTGAGCTCCTCAGACATCCTTTGACCACCATAGACTGTAGGCACCTCGACCTCCTTCAACCTTAGGGCTTGTTTGGATTGGGGGTAATGAGAGGTCAGGGAAGATGGATGACACATTGACCTTGTTTGGGATTTCATTTGAGATAGATAGTGAGGAAGAAGTTAAGGTAATGGAGGGGAAAAACTTGAGATTTTTGTTCTCCGTCAAATTGAGATGTAATGGAGGGGAAGGGAACTCTTGAAAAAAAGGATAATATTGTACAAATACAACTTTATCATTGTATCAAGATGAGATCCAAAGGGTTGAAATAACATGCAAGATTATATATGTAAATTTACGTATATTAATTGTATCAAGATGAGATCCAAAGGGATGAAATAACATGCAAGATTATATATGTAAGTTTACGTATATTTCTTACCTTCCCTTCACTTTATTAAACTTCCCAAACGGGTTGAAATGAAATCCCCTATATTCTCCTTACTAAATTTCCAAACAAATTTTGTTTATTATCTTAACTTCTAACTTATCCTGTATTCACTTAACTTTCCTTCACTATCGGCAAGTCCCAAGAGGCCCTTAAGCAAAACATCCCCCACCATTTAAATAAAAAAAGTCTGCCTAGGCCCCACTTGGCGTTCCGCTAGGTTATAGGCGCCGGTCTGACACTTAACGGCAACTAAAGCTTTCTGTAATATGGGCTCTGCTCAATGTTACAAAAGGTACTAGGTGGACTAGAAGTTGGAGTCGGGGTCTAGCGCCTAGGCTTTTACCTATTTTTAAATTTATTTAATTATGACAATTCACAAAAATATGTATTAAGTTCATAAAAAATTGCAAAAAAACATAAATAACAACCTTAGATCCATAATCAACCTTGCATAAATACTAAATAGCCAAATTAATAACCAAATACTAAGAAACATCATCATGTCTAACATAACAAGTCATCACAATAGTAAATAATATCGCAAACTCAAAAGTCTAATGCTCAAGAAAAAAAAAAATGAATAGTCTAAATGTCTAGCATGAGATAATTATATAATCTAATGAAATCATCGTCATCATGGAAATTCTTCATTGTATGATCTCTCTCCTCAGAGGTCATGTCCACGAAGTCCTCATCCTCATCCGTGACATCATCGTCGAAGACAAGAGACTCTTCTTTGCTAGTAATCATCGAAGGTCCTGTAGTTCCTGCTATTCTTTCACTCCTCCGGTTCGTCGCAACTTCAGCCGCTCCAGATACATTCTCCTCTTCTCTTCTTTTGCTTGAGCTTGGCATTGAATTTCACAAACACAAAATCCTCCAACCTCTTTGACTCTAATTGGTTTCTCTTCTTCATGTGAATCTTTAAAGAAGAAAAGAATAGATTAGTAAGTCATGAATGGATAACTTAATCTTATTAATTTTAGATATTTATGTAATTTATCCCCTCAAAAGTGCTCCAGTTCCTCTCACATCCGGAAGTACTGCTAGTGAGATTAAGAACCTTCATCGCCAAGTTTTACAGAAAGGCACAATCACCGCTATACATATACCACTAACTAGTTGTAAACACATTGTCTCAGTTTAATTCACCAGTGCAAAAAATAGTTTATGATTGATAATTTGATATATTCAGTTTATAAACTAAATTTACCTGGGTTGAAGTCCACTTTCTACCTAGATTTTATTGCCAAATTTCTACCAAATGAGCCCTTACCCTCTCTATACTTTTCCATGAACTCCTTAGTAACCTCAGCTTGGTGTTCCTTATTGGGATAGAGCAACTCCACCACATCTAGAAACCCCTCCTTCCTCTCTATAGAGTTCTTAGCAACATCATCTCGAAAGAAATAGTAAGGGTTAATGACATAAGCTGCCGTATGTAAAGGGTGTATATAATCGAACCTCTGACTTGGAACATATACTATCAATCACCGACTTGCATAGTCTCTCATGTTTCTTCTAAACAAGCTTGATCTCCTCCTTTGTGTCCTCGAGCATCCCCACGACAAATCTCATTGAGGGTCTATAGTCGCTATCGACCACCCTTAACATGCGAAAAAGGGGAACATAGATTTTCAATAGCTTGTTTACAGATTGCCACCAACACTCACACATGACACTGACTTCCACTTTTCTACCCTTTGCGGTCTTAAAATGCTTGCTTTTCCTTCATTCTTTATCAGAAAACATGAGTCTTAGCTTCAGCTTCTTCTCATGAACACTTCGAAGGGTCAAGAATGCAGTGACAAAGCGAGTGACTCCGGGTCTAACAATCTCCCTCATCTCACACATGCGACGTATCATGTTCAAGATCATGTGGTGGATGTGGATGAAGATGGTAAGGGCTTTTCGCTTTTTCAATAGTTGCTTTGAAGGTTGGTAACTTTCCAATGCCCTCAAGTATCAGGTCAATAGTATGAGTTGCACAGCTAGTCCAAAAGATACTCGGCCTCTTCTTCAATTTTTCCTTCGCCGTCATATTTGCAGAAGTATTATTTGTGATAACCTGAATGACCTTTTGTGGCCCAATCTTCTCAATGCATGTATCCACCCACTCAAAAATGTATACTCCCGTGTGCGAGTCCCCGAAGCACTCAATCGACTTGTAGAACCTGCTGTGGATACACAGGTTCATGATCGACCTCATCTTGTTATATGACCAAACATTTGTCATGATAGAACCACCTTTCCTCCACTCATGCTCCTTTGATGAGTCCCTAGTCTCATTCACGCACCCGTCAACAACGGCTTCCTCAACATATACATGCTAGGCGGTCGGTAAGTACATTCATAATCCCCAATAGCGCTACACATCCGCATAAAGGAGTTGGTAGAGAGGGCATGAAAAGGAATGCTATTCTCATATGCTCATCTAGTAACATGCTTGTGGACCCGGTCTCTCTTCTCTTTCGTATAAGCTTCCTTCACTCTAGGCTGAATCATCTTTCCCTTCGGTCTCTTTGCTAGCTCGAGATCACTAGTAGTGTAAGCATCCATTGGCCCAATAGTCGGCTCTCTAGACCTCTTTGAAGATCCGTCCGTTGTATGTGTAATGGAGACAATTTCCTCTCCTTCAATAGCCGTTGGATCCGGCTTGTCGAACTATGCTTCCTCTTGTAACTTCATGATATGCATCTCCTTCAGTTTTTTCCTCCTAGAATTAGCATCCATAGCTTCTTGGACCTTCCTATCAGCAGCTAAAATCTTAGAGTAGTTGATGTAACTGTTTCCTCTACCGACAAAATGTTGCTTCAATTTAAAGACCATCCATTTCATCTTGTGCAAGTGCAATTTACATTGCGCCAAGCACAAATCAGTTAGATCTGGAAGAAACCCAAACTCCCAACCGATATCTCCGAAGTTTCTTTTATTTTTCATAGGGGCTTTCGCGAGAATAGATGTTATACTCGCAAATTCTTTAGGAGGAATATCCGACATTCTACATCACAACAATACGATAGACAAACCATTCATAGATCAAATCATTCAAATTAACTAAAATTAACTAATTTAACTAAAATTAACCAAGATTAAACTAATTAATTAAACTAAAATTACCTAAAATTGAACAATATTAAACTAACATTAACTACAATTAGCTAAAAATAGCTAACTAAACTAATTAATTAAACTAAATTAACTAAATTTAACTAATTAACTAATTAATTAAACTGAAATTAACTAAAATTGAACAAGAATAAGCTAAAATTAACTAAAATTAACTAAAATAACTAAATTAACTAATTAAACTAATTAATTAAACTAAATTAACTAAAATTTAACTAATTAATTAAACTGAAATTAAATAAAATTAACTAAAATTGAACAAAAATAAACTAAAGTTAACTATAATTAACTAAACTTAACTAAATTAACTAATTAATTAAACTAAATTAACTGAAATTAACTAATTAACTAATTAACTAAACTGAAATTAACTAAAATTGAACAAGAACAATAAACTTAAATTTACTAAAATGAACTAAAACTAACTTAATTAAACTAATTAATTAAACTAAAACAATAAATTGTCTAAGAACAGTTTAAAAATAAAAGGAAGTTTGAAATTTTACCTGAGAGAGAGAGAGAGAGAGAGGAGTGGCTGGAGGTGTGAGAAAGGTTGGCGGCGAGAGAGGGCTGGCAGGCGGGAGAAAGGCTAGCGAGGAGAGGCTTAGCGCGGGAGAAGCGCTCGCGACGGGAGGCCACACGGAGCTGGAAGGAGAGGGGGAGACGTCGGGGAGTCTCGAGAGTTGAAAGACAGAGAGGGCGGGCTATATCTGGAAGTCAGGAGAAAGAGAGAAATAGGGTATTAGGGTTAGGTTTGGGTTTGGGTAATGGGTTCAGGTTTGGGTAATGGGTTCGGGTAAGGGTTTTAACTTTTTTTTTGTATTAAAAGCTAGGCGGAGCTTAGGTGCCGCCTAGGCGGAGCGGCCGCCTAGGTAGGGCGCTCTAGCCAAAAATGGCCGGGCAAGTGTCCGCCTAGGTCTAGGCGGATGTTTAGGCCACTTTTTAGAACACAAGCTCTGCTCTTGCTATATCTATCCAGACACTTACTTTGTATGTGTTGGTCTAACCATGCTAAGGAGCCGGTCAAATGGAGTTGCCATGTATCATTGTTGTAATTGTTGTTTTCCTTTTTGGTAAATGTTGAAGAAAACAATAATAGGTAACATATGCTTCTAGGTTAAAGCGCATATAGTACAATGCATGACATAACTTATGTGCTTTGTTGTTCTTGTTTGAAATATCTGTAAGATATTCACAATAATGTCAATCAGCTGAAACATGATTTCTAAATATCAAAAATCTAAATTTTAATATAAGTATGCTAAGTTAATTGTTATCGAGAAGAGCAAGAAAGTAGTGGAAAATGAGCTTAACAAAGGGGAGAAGAGTCCTTATTGTTGCCAACATTGTTTATAGTTCCTCTGAAAGAGAAGATAATGGTGAGTTGATGGTGAAAGAGGAGCTTAGGGAGAGGAAAAACAAAAGGGTAGTCGATATCCTTGTGACGTTGATGACAATACTATCAGCAATGAGAAGAGGGAGTAGAGTCTATAGTCGAAGAGGAGCTCAATGAGGGGGAGGAGAAAGAAATGTCGATATCGATGTGTTGGGGTGAAAAGTAGAAGGGGACTTGTTGTCGGGGGATGAATTTAGGATTAAGGCCAAGAGAGATTCAGTGTTCACGATGACATAATATATGATGAGTTTATAAACTAAAGTGCCATGCCGACAATACATGCTATTTTATGCTTTGCAGATGCATTGTGTAGTATATGCTATTTTGAAATAGCGCATGCTAAATCGTGTTTGACTTGTTTCACAGTGTTACATCGTGCAGTTGGGTTGTTCAACGTAACACAAGATAACGACTTATACAACACCTTTATTCAACATTGTTGTGAAGTTTTTTTAGTGTTATATAGTTGTATATCATTTATCTTCTAAGTTTCTTCTCTTGGTTTCCATATAACATTTAGAACTTCCTATGCTATTTTCCTAAATATATAATAATACAAAATGAGACTGTGATTTTGCCATGTCAAGGGTCAATTTGTTCCCTAAATATGCTAATAATGATTTATTATTGCAAATATTTTGCCAAGCAACTGTTTTTGTTTCCTTAATGTATGTTCAAAATTATTCCAGTTCCCTGCACATTGTGTTACTTGCATGTTTTCCACTATACTGTAATGTCCAAAAGTAGGATCTATGCAAGTATATACATTAGATTCTTCAAAGGTGTATAATATAGGTTTGGATCATCGGTAGAATCAACAATGATCAAAAGGTCATTATTAGAGTTCAAATTGGCCGATGAGTGACATGCAGAGATGATGTCAGGATGCAATGTGTTCAATGAGGCTTCGAAAGAAAGTGGTAGAGAGGACACAATAAAAACTTTTGATGATGTCACCAGCAACTAAACTTGGCTTTATGGTTGCGGCTTCTATCATTTGATTAGTTTTTTTAAATGGAGAATGTAGGCGGTAGTTGTTAGTTCGTTGTGGTGTAGTCTGTAGAGGGATTATTTTATTTGGATTAGATCGAGGAATGAATGGAGATTGAATAAAAAGGAGGTTTTGAGTGGCAGAGAAATAAAGGAAAAGTTGTGGAAGGATAACAATTTGTAGGATAAATGAAGTCGGCTTGACCTCAACTTTTAAAGTAGGATAATATGACTAATCTTGGAACTTTTGTAATTCTGATTCCAAGATCTTTTAGATCTTTGATAGTCTGCAAAACTGATAAAGAGTTGATGAGAAAGGACTTGTTATAACAAACTCTATTATTGGCTCTCCATGAAGTGGGTGTAACATGGACTTGTTGGTGATCAGATTATGCGTCAGTATTGCAGGTTTTGGCTCGGGCTCAAGCTCATGTTGAGGCTATAACTCATGCACAGGGTCTGAATTTTTATGTGGTTTTGTTCAGGCTTTGGTTCAGGTTCCTCTTCTATCTCAGGCTTTGGCTCGGGTGCTAATATTGAGTAACCCTCTAATAATATTCTCTTCTCAAAAGCTCTATTAATCATTTTACAGGTTTTGAGAATGTCGTTGGCCTTGTGGAAGATATTATTAAGTTTGTTATACGTGGTGTGAAACCTAGTATAAATCAACTAGCTCTTATACTAATTAATGCAGATCGAGGTAATTGGTGAACATTGACATCAATCGGAAGGCGTAACCGAAGTTCAAACTAGCGGGCAGTGACACCTTTGACATGTATAAGTGATAGTTGTGTTCAGGTAGGGGGGCCCCGCTCTAAAAAATAGAGGGAGAGAATTACAAAAGAAATACCTTTGATCAATGTTTTAAATGTCGAGCGACATGTCGGTTGACATATCGGTTTGAGGGCTTGAGCGACACGACATGTGCGTTTTCAGCTCGTATATCGGTTTTCAGGGCCAAATTGGAAATATCGAGGCCATATCGGGCATGTCAGTCGATTTTTCAGCTTTGGAAAATCAGCCGATATGACCCTTTTTTAGATCTATTTTTTGTTATCGGGTTTGAGTTTAGTAATAAAAAACCCAAACCCATTTGACCCGTTCTCATGTTTAAGGGTTTCTTATGAACCCGATAGAAAGAAAAGAAAAAAATAAGGACTGCAGCGGACTTGGGAACCCATCACTCCTTTCGTGAACGACGACGCCCTTCCCCCACCTCCATCTCGGCTCCTCGTCGTCCATCTCCCGTCGCATCCCAAAATTCAAACCCCAACCGAACCCGACAGCGGCAGGGCAGGGTATCCAGTCGTCAGGATAAGGGGAAGAGGGTGGTCGGTGACTCATCCGAAGGATCCTAAGCAGACGAAGAAGAAGAGCTCCAACACTGCCTCCCTGCGACGTTGGAATCCACCCATCGTCGGCGTCGCCTCTAGAATTTATAATGTATGCTTATATTGAATTTAGGAATGCTTAGATTACATTTAGGACATGATATTAAACATATGTGCATCACCCGATATGACAATCCGATATTTAGTCCATATCCCTCGATATATCCCTAATTTTTACTATCCGACATGGATTTCAGCCGTCCGACATGAAGATGTCATTTAAAACATTGCCTTTAATGATGTCAGAGACAACTAAACTTGGTTTTTTTGGTTGCAACTACTTGGAATTTATTGTCTTTTAGTGGTGGAGAATGTTGGCGGTGGTTATTTGCTGATTGTGAGGTAGAAGGATTATTGTATTTGGAAATAATTATTGAGTGGATGGACCTTTTTCTTACAAATTGAATATAGTTTCTTGATATTTCCTTTTCTTTTGATTGTTTAAAATTGATTATCTTCAATTTACTATACTCACCTAGATGTCATTGTGTATTTAGCAGGTTAGATTTAAAACAGATTTAGAATGCCTACCTCTAGCTGAGAGTACATTCAAACAAGCTATATTGGAAAACTATTCAAATGACAGATTTCAGCCGTATCTGAATCCTATACAGGTAATCTTTGACTTTGATCTTTGACATTTTTTTCAAGAAGGGTGTTGGAAATTTTAAAAATTTCCTTAATAACAAAACTTTTGAATTTTAAGCTATCAAAAGGATGTTATGCGTCTTTAGCTTATTGATGAATTTATTTGAAAGTTTGTGGTAATTTTATTGAGTTATTTGCTGATGCACCTTTTGTATTGTGACAACATTTTATAGTATCTAAGAGTATGTTTAGCAACCCTTGTAAATTGGGCCGAGACTAAGGCTGACTTGGTTTTGGGTATTTTCTTGCTTGACAAAAAAAATGGAATAGAATTAGCCTAGTTTATAGGCCAAAGGTGGGCTACTAAATTAGTTCTGGTTTGGACCACCCTGTTCTCCGTTCATTCATGATCTGGTTTAGGATAAAATTGGACTAGGGCTGAGCCTGACTTAGTTTAGGGCGGGTTGCCAAACACACCTAAGTACTAATACAAGGAGCATGACTCGGCCAATATTTTATTGGTAGGGAGCGTATAACTCATTGGTGATATGCAAGAATCGTAATCAATCACAGGGACAAGTTAAGACAATGTATATGTGTGTGTATGTATCTATGTATGTCTGTGTGTGTATATATATATCACGAAAATATCTAGCACAACAAGCAACAGAAGATAACAGATAGTATATTTTGGATATAATTCCAAACTAAATTGAAATACGGGTAATGGTGGCTCGTATGCTCCAAAAGCACATGGAAAAAACTAAGTATCAATTATTATCATGAGTCCAAACAAAAGGGCTTAAAACCTAAGTATGAAACGAGAGAACATATAAAAGCTAGTGGAGTAGCACATCATCACATCAAACCTCACTATAGAGAGGGGTATGCAATTGTCGATTTAAGGCCCATGAGTTTATTTGCATGACAAATGATATCAGAGCAGTTTGCCAGCCTAAAGTGTGGAATTAAGTTTGCTATTTAAGATTAAGTACTACATCACATGAGGGCAATAGAAGCTATTTCTGAAGCCTGCATGAGCAACCTCTAGAATCCACATTGTTCCGTGGTGATTCTGGTGTAGGCCATTGTCATGCTGCATCTAGTGTTATTAATGCACAATGAGCAATGTTATAGAAAGTGATAGGCGGTCTAGGCGTTAGACCTGACGCTTAGAGTCTAGGCTGGGCCTAGGCGGTTTTTCTATTTTTTATTTTTTAATTGCAGTAATTTATAGTATATACTAATGCTATAGAAAAGCTAGGTGCTGGACTGACGCTTAAGTGGATTTTTTTCATTGTTTAAGTAGTGGTGGAAGAGGTTTTGCTGAAAGTCAAAAGAGGTAAAAGAGATGTTCATCGTCTGGAGGTGTTTGAAGGAGGTTGGAAGATGTGAAGGCTGCAACGGAGGAAATCACGATCAAGGTCTAAAGGATGCAGTCCACATAAAATACACACGCTCCGCTAGGTGCTTCCAAACCTAGATGTGCGGCCTGGGTACCGCTTAGGCGATAAGCGCTAGACAGACATGCAAAATACAACCTAGGCTTAGGCGGATTGGGTGGAATCTTTTTAAAACATTGGCGAGGTGCAATGCGGGGCACAAAGTCCATTTACATGCATATGTGCAAGGTGCAATGCGATGGTCACTAAAGGGAATCGACTTGCATTAATTTTCAAGGTAAATAATCAAGCATGAAAGGACATGTTTATGAATTTTCACATAAAAGATATGTGAAGATAAAAAATGCCAACTACTAAATCATAAAATAAGATCTTAATTTATAATGCTAGCAGACGCTGCATAGTAACAAAGTTCATAATTATCCAACCCAAGTCAAATCAAAACTAATAACGGAGCAGAATCAAATAGTATGAGAACTAAAAGTCAAATCAAAACTAATAGCGAGGTAACATCAAATAGTACAAGAATTAATTAGAGCCATCAACTGGGCTACTAAAAAGGCCTAGTGAGTTTATTTTTCTTTTTAGTATATGGATTATCTGGTATAAAGATTTGATTGAAATATTAAAGAACAAAAAACCTATGAGGGTATGTCTTATATGCGCCCTTCACATAGCCTTGTATGTGCCTTGCGCATCGCTCACGATGCTTGTAAGGTGTAATAAGGCTTTGCCCCATATTTTCTAAGCGCCCCGCATTGATGTAAGGCACTTTGCCACCATCCTGCATCTTAGGGTGGACGAGGCGCACATGCACGCCTTTGATAACACTACCTGCAGTGACATTCAAGCTCAGGTGATTGTGATAACTGTTGATTTAAAAAGCAGCCTAGGCCTTTACTTGGGTGTAAGTGGTTCCCAAATCGCTCATTTAAGCGTTTGAGGCGCGCAAGTGGTGTAAGCAGCTTAAACGAGCCACATTATTTTAAAATGCAATGCAACATTATATATTAAATTTGAACTGACAACTAAACCTAAGTGGATAAGATGCTGAGGTGTCGTTAGGCAACGCATTAAGTTTAGTTGGATTAATCCCTCATTAACTTGCTAAACACAAAAAATCCATGCTTGGAGTAAAGTGAAGCCTAAAACGAGAAAGATGGGAAGACAATGCAATGAGGTCCTACTTATGTAACTTAGTAAACCCTCTATGATTTGCCAAACACAAAAATGTAGAAGGATTAAACTAACTCCTCTAGAGGGGTTAAAATGAGTTAACCATCAAAGAGTGGGGTTTACTAATACTCTTATTTGGATGGGTCAAGAAATAACCCTTCTATTTGTAACGAAAGTATTCATAATTTTCATTATTTCATAAAACTAAAATTGATCATTTGGATTAAAATAAAATTTACATAATTGGTTAATAATTTAACCCTTCATATTAATTAACTTTTCCCCTTAATGCCTCTTCCTTATAACTTTACCAAACAGGGCTTGATGTTAAGAGTATCAAATCTTCAGGGAAAAAAACTTTACCTCCCGTTGTTTTCCCATAGCCTCTCTTTGCTTCTAGAGCCATCGTTTCGAGGGCAATGCCATCTCTGGTCACTGTCCACATTTGCAATATATTTTCTTGAATTATTATTAATATAGTTTTTTTTATAATCTTATAAATTCGTCTGCTTCATGATCTTCTTTTTTATTTCCTCTATTTCCTTTCTTCTTGTTTTCTCTTATTTTCCTTTGACTGTCATTGTGTCATAAACAACCATCTTAAAAATATATAGTGAAAAAATGCTTAGATGCCAGAGCAGTAGGCGCTAGGTCTGGGCGTAGAAGCACCCAACCAACACTTTCTTAAACATCGTTAACACCTCATCTATTTATCCAAAAATCAGGTAATTAAGAAAGTACACATAGGTATGTGAATCAAGTACAACAATGACTAGTCATTTTGCCATGGTTTGAGCTATGCAAGGCTTACATCGAACCAACTGGCTTGCAGGCCTAAGGTGTGATAGGTGGGAGTACAAGTTAATGGTAGAAGTATTCATGCAACATACAAGTTAATGGTAGAAGTATTCATGCAACATAGTTCCCAACTGAAGCATGAGTTAAAACACAGATATCATAACGTATTTAACATCTCATAATAGCAAAGCATTAGAAAAATGTCCAATAGAAAAAACTCCATCAATTCTATTGTTATGCATACTTGATCATAAAAGTTACCATTAAACATCCCCAGATGGTTTTGATTTTTTTCATAAAAGTTATCATAAAAGAATGTTCCTTTTCTAAGGCTTATTCTGTCCTTATAAATATAAAAAATCATGGGAATCCTCGCAAACATTTTTAATATCATCTTGTTTCTATTTTATTTTTTTCCAAAGAAGTTTATACCACAGATAACATGAATTCTTCTTGCATTTCTGCAGATATTCACATGAATAATTATAAAACCCACTAAAAGTTCTGCCTTTGTTTTGAAAGATTAAACATCCACTTTATAAGCAAAAGCTACAATATCATCTTTATGATTAAACAGGCCATTTATTTATTTGCTCGAGGTCCTAAACTCTTAAAAAAGGAGGCCATAATACCTTGTAAACTAGGTTGCATGTATACAGATGGAGGTATGGACGCGGACATGAGACATGTCACATGACAAATTTGTAAAAGACAAGATACATGGACATGAATATACACATATGTATATATATAATATTTACTTTAGATCAAATATTGAATTAAAATATTTATAACATTTGTATGTTTCTTTTACTATCTATAGCAATTAAGAATCAAGCTAACTCAAACTAAGAGTTAAGGTTTGACGATAGAGTAGAAGTTTAGTTTTCATCATACAAGATACAATGGGTATTTTTCAAATCTTTAAGTAATGGTTTTCTGTTTTTGGGTTCAAAAACCTATTGGTTTTGAGCTCGATATACCAAAGAAACTAGTTTGGGCTACGAGTAATGGGGAAATTGGGTTTTGCTTTGAACGATATGTGTCCATGGCGGACACTACGTCCATGGCATGTTTGCTGAGAATTCGTGCACGGCTCGGATGCGACACCCAAAATGGAGTGTCTGTCTAAACTAGCTTGTAAAACTTTCTAAGTTGACTCCTTTTTGTAAATCTGGCACCTATGACTCTATATTTTGCCTCTCTTCCTGAAGTTTTCTTTGACTTCTAATTTCTCTTTAACTTAGAGGGAGGGAGAAAAGCTTCTCTCAAGAACATAGACTCTAGGTACTCGTAAATTTAAGGTGAACTAATAGCCAACAAGCAGGAAGAGAGTTATTAAAGTGAGGTATTCATTGTTTTTTGTCATAACTTGAGGGTTAATTTATTTGGTAGTTGGATATGCTAAAAGAATATTCAGTTCAATATTCTTTAGTCTTATCTTTTCATTTTGTTAACAACAGATATTTGTTCGGTTTGTTTTTTGTGTTTAATATCTTAAGTTCTTTTTATGCAAAAGCATTGTAACTGATTGTTTCTGGTATTTTTTATTAGACCCAACTAAATTATGGAAGTGAGAATTGTGAGCTTTATTAATTTCCTATGAGAAATGAGCACCTTGAACTACAAAAGCTTTGTTGTTGTTGTTGTTGTTGTTGTTGTTGTTGTTGTAGGGATATGATTTCAAAATATAAAAATATTAGTAAAAATCTAAAATTTAATACAAACTATACAAATTTATTAAACAAGTACCATGATAAAAGTTCAAATATAGCATCACAGAGTGACATACATAGGTCATTTATAATTTCATCTCCACTTGCCTTCTTCACAAATCATAGATTAACACTCACAAGCTAAGTTGCCTGGGTACTCCTAAATGAAGCTGTATCTGTACCCAAACTCCTCAGACACCTTGCATATATCAATACATTTATTCGTGCATATACTCACTTATGCAATATATATTCCAAGTTAAACACTACTCATACACTTTTTGGACACATATCTTACACTTCACATCTACTTCCTAAAATTCATTGGGCATAGGTCAGGTTTCGAACTATTAGTTTAGAGAGTTATTTGGCTGTCTAGTTCAACAATGATGATTTTCCAATTTCCACATAATTAAAGTACCATAAAAATATGATAGGAGTTTAAATTCTCATAACACGTGCATGAAAAACAATGTTGATCTTGCCTAAATTAATAATTGTAATATATAATATAGGTATATGTATTAAATATTTATACAGTCGTGTCTTTGTACCCTACTTTTTATGAATTTGCCGTGTCTCGTAGCCGTACCCGTTTCCGTGCAACTTAGCTCACAAACATAATGATGTCATGAAATATTAATCATGATAATAAAAAAGCCATCAATGCCTAACAAATAGTTCTAGGTGGATACTTAACTATTGCAAGTCTTACACAAAACAAACAAAGAAAACAATTTCTAGAGCGAGTGTGGTTATTGAGAAGATGAGATGTGATTATTAGCTAACATCCTATAATACCATGGGTGCATTTACACTCTCTTATTTGTAAGATCACTTGTGAATGTTTCTTTTTATCTAAGAACATTGGTTAATTTTTTGTTATAAACTCAGTTTATCTTTCTACCTTATGCTGTTCAAATGCTTAGGTGTCTAAGATGGACTGTAGATCTACAAATTGGGATAGAATGATTTGATATTTTTTGGCAGGTCCAGAAGTTGGTAGCATTGTTTCAGTCTAGTTCTGCAGCACCTCAACCTGCTACCCTACATGTGGAGAACCAACCTATTGCTGCCCCTGCTCCTTTACCTCCAACTACAGAACCACCTGGATCAGCACATATTCCATCTGCTTATTTGCTTCAACCCGAGGAAAGACAGGCTTCTCCCCCTGCTCCTTTTCCTCCAATTACAGAACCATATAGATCAGCACATACTCCACCTGCTTATTTGCCTCAACTTGAGAGCATACATGTTCCTTCCTCTGCTCCTTCGTCCCTAACTACAGAACCATATAGATCAGCGCATCTTCCTCCAGTTTATTTGCCTCAGCTTGAAATTAGACATATTCCTTCCGCTACTCCTTTGTCCCCAACAACAAAACCATATAGGTCAGCACACATTCCGCCTGCTTATTTTCCTCAACTTGAGAGCAGACATGTTCCTTCCTCTGCTCCTTTGCCTTCAACTACAGAACCATATAGATCAGCACATATTCCACCTGCTTCTTTGCCTCCACCTGAGGACCAATGCAGGCCATCAACACATCAGGCTCCCTTTCATTTGCCTCCATCTGATGACGATGACCAATATCTGTCTAGAAGACATCTGGCATCTCATTTGCCTCCTTATGCAGACCCATATATTGGCCGTGCTCCTGCTGCTTCTGATTCCAACTACATTTCTACACATATTCCCACAACTGAGAATGATCTTCACTATTCAACAACTTGTGCCCGTGCTGCTGATCCATATTATCCTCCACCTTCTAGCTCTATTTATCGCCTCTCAGAAGCTGCACATGCTTTTTTTCCTGAGAACCCAAATACAGATCCTCCACCTCCTAGCTCAATTTATCGCCCCTCAGAAGCTGTGCGTGCTTGTGTTCCTGAGAAACCAATTACATCTGATCGGTATGAAATCTATTAAATCTATATGCACATTTTTTTCTAGATACTTGCTTCTATTTCTCTGTCATATTGAAATAAGTGATTTTATTATTGTGGTTGCAAAATTGCTAGTAGTGTAGTGGTAGCTCAAATGGTTCTGACTAGATTATTCTTTACAGTGATTTTATTATTGTGGTTGCAAAATTGCTAGTAGTGTAGTAGTAGCTCAAATGGTTCTGACTAGATTATTCTTTACAGTTGCGACATAATTATATAAGCCATAAGGGCAATATTATTCCACTCTCTGCATCTCTTTTTTAAGTAAGTGGTTTTATGTTCAATTGGATATAGGTAGTAGGGTAATTAGTAGATCCAAGTCCTGACTCGATCACTTTTTGCAGCTTTTAACTATGTAAGGACGGTGCACTTGGATTTAATTTATAGTTGGCAGTGTTAAATCTGTTCAAGTTTCATCAGGATTACGGATGAGACTTCGTTCGTTGAGGCATTCATTAGATTAGTTTTTTGGACATCATGTTTAGAAGATTTTGTCTTGCTTGTATTTTTGTTTCCTGATGATATTACAGTTAGCAATTAGTTCTTGTTTCATGTTTCTCTTTATTATCTTATCAGAAATTTTTTAACTGCCCCTAGACCTATCATTGTACAGAGCATGTATCAGTTAATAACACGGATGAGGTACTGATGACTATCAAGTGCATATTTTCTCTCAGACAGGCAGACACACACACACACACAGAGTATCCTGATACTACTTAGAGGGCATCAATTGTGGCTGCTAACCTCCTTTCCAACTCTACAAATTTATATATATATATATAGAGAGAGAGAGAGAGGTCAATGATGTAGATGTCGGTCTCTAGTATCCTGATACTACTTAGAGCGCATCAATTGTGGCTGCTAACCTCCTTTCCAACTCTACATATTTAGGGAGGGAGGGAGGGAGGTCAATGATGTAGATGTCGGTCTCTAGTATCCTGATACTACTTAGAGCGCATCAATTGTGGCTGCTAACCTCCTTTCCAACTCTACAAATTTATACATGCGGATTTTCCAAAGTCCAGACAACCATGATGCAATATAAGAAAAAATTAAGGAAGGATAAACACCAGTAAATCCAACAGATGTTGATTCCAAATTGTTTTTGTAAATTTAGCACTGTGATGATAATTGTCAGTAAGAGAATCATTAGTATATACTGTAAGTCACAATGCTAACTCCCCAAGTAGGTAGGGTTATTTTTCTACAGTTAATTGTTCTACAGTTAATGGTTCCAAACAATCAGCAAGTTATTTAATAGATTCTGGAGTTAATTGTAGTAAAGCTAGTATTCTCATGTCCTGTCAGTTACTCATTATCAATTATAATGATAATCATATTTTACAGCATAGCCATCTCATCATTACATAGCGAAAGAATTAAAAAACTTTCCCCGATCTCTCCTTTTGAAATTTCAAATCCATCTTTTTCAGTTGGACTTATCTTGTTCTCTTGCACTTGGTCCGCATGCACTTTTACCTTTGTGCGTTTGTGCACACCCGTGAGTGTTGCTGGATCGGGTGAAGAGTGACTGGGTGGATTAGAGTTCTAAAACTTTGTTTTCATTTATTTCATGGATTGAATGGCATCGTTAACAAATCATCTTTTTTGTCCTCCCTATATCGATAGATTCAATAACAGTGTCATATTGCCTGAACTGCATCCATCTGATCGATTTTTAACTCCTTTTCTTTTATCAAACTTTGATTCCTACTTCCATCTCGTAACTTTTTAACAAGTACAGATGTTCACTAAGTTTGTCTATATCTCTTTCACCAGTCTTGGTTATAGGGTGTTCCTCGAGACTGTGGAGGATCCCAATGCCCATCTATCAAGAGACTATCAATCTCTTCACAGAACGGATGGTTATGTTACTCCTCAGGGAAATCAGATAGATAGCCGTTATCCACTTGAACAAATGGGCTCCAATTCAAGATATGAGAGGCTCCCTCTATCTAGCTATCGTTATGATCCCTCATTGTACATGCAAGGCCGTAGTTCTACAGACGCTCAGCAGAGACAGCCATCTTCAAGTGTGTCTGTTTCATCTCGATACACGTTTGCTGGTGCTGCTCCAGCACATCGCTGATGGTTCATAAATCTAAGTTTCTCTTTTATGTTAACCGAATTCTTCTGACAGGGAGTTGTGTGTGGAATAAATTTGACGGGGGAATGCTGATTTTGCTGTGTTTTAATCAGAAGGAATTCTGGAGGAATAGCCTTGCCATAAGATACAGTAACATGTAAGTTAAGTAGATGCTCAGTGATGTCTCTTTTGACTGATCAGTGTTTGGATGGTGTTTGCAAGCGTCTCTGGTCTTTAGCAATTAGGAATCGAGCAAATTATCTATTTTACTTACTATTGTTACTTTTTGGTGAACATAAGATCTTTAATTGTTAATATCTTATTCTTTTTTATTTGTTTCAAGTAGACTATATCTGCGTCGATGGTTACTGGTAAGCTGAAAATTTTGCACTAGTGGTTCTGAAGGAAAAGTGAGCGAATATGTTTGTGTAAAGTGAGCGAATATGTTTGTGTTTTATTACGTTTATTTTTTATTAAGAGGGGATTGTATATGGCTTGTGCTCGATTTGTATGGTGAAAATGAACTGGATTTCGTCATCTGAAAAATTTGTGGATGTTGCTTCTTTTGAACCACTTCCTGACTGGGGAAAGTTATTAGCTAATTGCAAATAGACCCCCTTGTAGTATCATCCTATTGCGAATAGGCCTCTTGTAGTTCAATGTGTGCGAACCCCTTTAGTATTCGCCCGAGTGTCAATACACCCTCTATAGAACATTTTCGACTTCTAAAAGTAATTAAAAAAAAAAACAATTGAGGAATCCCTTTAGTATTGGCCTAAGTGTGAATGCACTCTCAATAGACAATTTTGACCCTTAAAAGTAATAAAAAAATAAAGGAGATGATCTAATCTTATCAATCCCAAACCATGGGTGATCCATTCCTCCTCTTTTCAGAACATATTTAGCAATTTTATTTTATGAGTTAAAAAAAATTCACATAGGGAGTCCTGTTTGCACAAATAGAACTATAGAGGGTCCATTCACAATTGGGTGATACTAGAGCGTCTATTGACAATTAACCCAAGTTTTATACTTGGTTGCATGAGTTCCACTTCATTTTGATGGAGCAAGGCTAGTTATCGACATAAACTGCATATTATGTGGTAGAACAAATTTTTGTTTTAAACCCATTTCAACTTTTTTTTACCGAAATCGACCGACTCCCTTTTTATTTAGCGGAATCGACCCACTTCTCGGCCACGTCAGCAACGTGGCCGAGAAGCGGGTCGATTTTTTTTAATCCCGTCACTAAATAGTCGGGGTTGGCAACCCCGACTATTTAGTGACGGGATTAAAAAAAAATCGACCCGCTTCTCGGCCACGTTGCTGACGTGACCGAGAAGTGGGTCGATTCCGCTAAATTAAAAAAAAAAGTCGGTCGGTTTGTAAAATAAAAAGGTGGAATGGGTTTAAATCAAAAAATTCTTCTCTGTGGTATTATCCTATGCTAACATAGTGTTCCTATTTTGAGTGCAGTAAAGGCTTTAGCATTTATGAGCTCTAGATGCTTGCGCATATGTTTTTTTTGGATTACCAAAATTTCTAACTTCACTCTTTTTGTATTATCAAATTGGAATTGAGGTATGGATTTCGATGATGTAGTGTGATTGTTGAGGGGATTGAGAGAGCGATGTCTTTTGGAAGCCAAATCCTTACCCCTTCTCATGCTTGAGATAGAACTTAAATTTTTTTTAATATCTGTTTGAAAATTTTATCCTAATTCTAAGTTGGATAAAACATGGTAGTTTATATTTTATTTATGGAATTTGAAATGGATTTTAATTGGTAAATATATTTAACATATACAAGTGGGTATTGAAGAGTTTGATGACAAGTGGACCGACACATAATGCTAATGCTATATTTGGATATGAATACTTTGAGTTGTATATTGTTCTATTACATCTAAATTTCAGCGAACGAATTACATATATGGTTTCAGATTGACGAGTGTTTTGGAAACGAAAAAAATATAACTAAATGATGTACATTGAAAAAAAGAAGAAAAAGAGAAAGGATGTGGATGTAAAAGGAGAAGAAAAAAAAGAAAAAGAAACCAGGACTTTAGACCAAAATAAGAAGAAAAGGATCATAAACACATAAAATGACTAGAATATAACAGACTTTTGTCCCTCCAAAAGTGGCCACTCTTTAACGGAACAAATTTGTTTATTAGAGTTTTCTAGCATGGGAAAATTTGCAAAATAGTACGTTTTTGCTAATTATTTAGCAAAATAGACCGTTTTGCTAAATAATTAGCAAAATAGACCTCTTTTTTGCCAACAGGCCAAAAAGAGGTCTATTTTGCAAAACAGCTCAGAAAACATACGGGACTAGTAGTCCCGTATGTTTTAATCACGGATTAGTGAACTCAGAAAATTTTACAAAACATTGAGATGAACTCAGAAAACATACGAGACTACTAGTCCCGTATGTTTTCTGAGTCACTAACCCGTGATTAATTTGTCTCTAAACATACATGACTAGTAGTCCCGTATGTTTTCTGAGTTTTGTTTTTTAAAATCGACCTCTTTTTTTCAAAAGAGGTCTATTTTGCTAATTATTTAGCAAAACGATCTATTTTGCTAAATAATTAGCAAAAAACAGACTATTTTGCAAATTTTCCCTTCTAGCATTCATTTCCCCCAAAAATTACATAATTCGAAATGGATTTATCAAAATAAATATTAATTTTTTTAAATATTTTCATCAAATATATCTCAAATCAACACCATTCGAGTTATTACCTATGTAGCACGGACACGGATCCGACACGGCCATCCGACACGCCGACACGAGGCAAATCCTAAAAAATACATAGGATATGTGTGTTCGACACGTGTGTCCGACATGGACACGACACGACACGGCTTCATGTTATGCGTGTCCGTGTCCGTGCTTCATAGGCTATTACCCGATTACGGCTCGAGCCCTATTATCACTAAACTCCGAATCGGGTTGCCGTATAGAGTCGAATCCAACCTTACTCCGACCCGACCCGACCCAACAATCCTACACATGACCTCACGTGACAGGATCCTCCCCATCCGGCGGAGTTCCACTGGTGCCGACCTTTTTCCCCCTTTCCTCTCTCTCTCAAAAAAGTAAATTACCAACAAAAACTCCGCTTTCTCTCTCTAAAACCTCTCTCTATCGCCTGATGTGTGTACATCCCTCGATTGAAAACCCTAATCCAAGCCCCAGCCAGGTGCCATTTCTTTCTCTGTATTCAATCTAGGGTTTCTGTTTCGAGCCGAGATTGTGACTTCGTTTGCGTTATTTTGTGGAAACCTAGGGTTTTGCTGAAGATTAGAGAGGAGAGGGGAGATGGCGGCTCATCGGTCGAGCCTCCCGCTGAGGCTGCAGCAGATGTTGGC